TAACTGCTGCTATTAAACCTGAGTGCCACATAATGTGCAATGTTGTATACATTTGTCTCACACTCTTTTTCATGCATGTGTTTATTTATGTATCATATTTTATGTTCTCATATGTCTTTCCTTTTTCTCATTACATTTATGCAATTATTTTTGGATGAACTTTGTGACTTACATTTACTTCACCCATGGTGGCATAACCAATGCTGCTTGAGAATGTGTTCATGTTAATCTCTCTTGAGCAGGTAAAAAAAGCACTTTATCAAATGTCTATTTGTGTGATTATGTGTCCATTTTTAGTAAAACTTGAACATGTTCTAGATATAACAGCATCCCTATTGTTTGCAGTGAGGATGATCCACTTGTCAGAGTTCATGGGCTAGTTCTCCCACTCATAATGTGGGGGAAATTATATGTTTTTCCATTGTATGTATATCCTGGGAGTTTTTAGGAGTTGGATCCGTCTAGCTAAATCTAGGACTGATTTGTGTGTGTGTGTGTGTGTGTGTGTGTGTGTGTGTGTGTGTGTGTGTGTGTGTGTGTGTGTGTGTGTGTGTGTGTGTGTGTGTGTGTGTGTGTGTGTGTGTGTGTGTGTGTGTGATGTTGTCGCATAAGATGATGGTGATGATGATATCATTCTGCAATACCTTGCGTTCAGTTTGTGTTTGCATGTAGGAATGCAACAGTCAGATTCGGAGGTGTGATTCCACCACGGATTTCACACATCAGGAAACACGCACACACGCACGCGCGCACACACACACAAACACAGACACACACACACACACACACATACACACACACACACACACATACACACACACACATACACAAACACACGCAAATAATTCAAATACAAGGGAAATTAAATGGAAAATATCAATAAAGTGTTGCTAAAAATAAAAAATGCACTGGACAATGGAAACAAAACTGAAATGACATTTTAGGCATGTGTGATGAAATGCCCTCACACACTTGTGTTGTCAGACGTCAGGTGAGAATGGGAAATGGAAAATCCAAGGTAGAGACAGTTGCCAATAAGGAGAAGTCTAAAACCAGTTTGTCTAGTTGCATCACTCCGAGTTCTGAAACAGAAAGATGACAGTGTTGCCAAGTTTTGCTTTTAAAACACTTTTCTCTTTAGAGATTGAGATCAGGGATTTCAAAAGTATGAAGTCATAAAAAAGAAAAAAACAAACTCATCTAACCTACAATACTTCTCATGCAGTCTGAGAATGATGTTTCACATACTGTAATATTATACAAATGCATGGTGTAAAACACCAACTATTACATGTTTATATGGTGCTTATGATTGCTTAAAAGGGTGAAATGTTTACACAATCCACACATTTTTGTGGTGTTAGAAAACATCTGGTCTGACCTCTTGTTGTCGGTGAGTCGGTGGATTTCTGTGTAAGCCTCAGCAGTTAGGGACAGCTTACATGCTGTGGGTGTCTCGAGTCAGTAATGAGATCAATATGTGTTTATGACTTTGTGTCTGACTCCCTGTGTGTGTACAGCAGCCTATTCATGTTTGTGTATGGATAACTGTGTGTTTGTGTATCAATGTGTGTGGTATAGCACGTACTGTAGCATGTCATTTTATGAAGCCTAAAAGTAGAGACCAACCACTTTCCCATCTTGAAACCACGACTCCTGTTGGGTTCGGCACTGGTAAACTCCAGTGACTTTCCCTCCAGTTCGAGTTCCTCTCCATAGCTCAGGCCGCTCTGCTGCTGCTGCACAGTCTCCACTTACATTGTGACATCACTGGAGTTTCCCCACTGTAGAGGCCGCTGCCACAGCATAAATACTACAAGCTCTCTGGCAGAAATTCACTCTTAACACAATAGCAACACAAAGAGAGAAGTATCAACATCAGCATCCAGCAAAGTGTTTCAGTTGCTAGATTTGAGCTTTTAATTTAAACATTTAACATCAGGGATTTGCAGTATGGTGGCCTACACATCTGCACCAAGTGACATGGAGATGGGTCTTGAGCAGAGGACGGTGGTCTTGGTAGAAAAGAAGTCCTCCACAGAACGGATATTAAAGTTGTCTGTGGCCCTTCTTGTCATGGCCCTTTGCGTAGGGGGCATCCTGGTGTTCGCTTGGTACTGGAGTGGAAGGCCAGACAAAATGGTAAGGAGTAGCTCCGTCTTTCTGTATTTGACCTTTTTAAACCTTGTATTTTTACTGAAATGCACTTTTTGTGTTTATATTTTGTAATTCATTTGTCATATTCTCTCCTTACAGACGCAACGAGGCCACACAGATGCGCTGATCGACAAGGACACAGCTGAGAAAACAGGTGATTACATGCATAGGTGCTCATGTAGTAAAAATGCCATCGGTGGTTTGTTAGATATACTTGGGGCTTTACTGATTATTTGAGACAAGCTCACATTTGTCTTTCTCTCCTCAGATCCCCACACCACACTGAGGCGAATCAGCAGCAAAGCCAAGGCAGCCATCCATCTAGAAGGTGAGTCATGGCTTGGTTTCATTCGGTTCTCAGCAAATAATGAGCTCATGATCTCAGCGTTCAAATTGTCTTCCTTCCTCTTTTGTGATATTTTTAGCTTCCTTCTTTTTAGAAGTATGATGATCAGGTGCACTTTAAGGAAGTTGTTGCACGAGTTATTCATTGGCCTCAATCAAATTCTGTTAATAATTGAAAACCCTCTGTAGAAAACAACCAAAGTGTTTCCGGGCTTTAACAATGTGTCTTATTACTCTTCTTTCAGGGATCTACGAAGAAGGCGAAAGTTTGAAAGACCAGTTGGAGTGGAGAAACGGTCAAGGTCAAGCGTTCGCTCAGGGCGGCTTTCGACTGGTGAACAACCAGATAGTGATCCCACAAACAGGACTGTACTTCGTCTACAGCCAGGCGTCGTTCAGAGTGTCCTGCAGCGATGGCGACGAGGAGGGAGCGGGTAAAGGCCTCACACCTCTCAGCCACAGGATCTGGCGCTACTCAGACTCCATTAGCAGCAACGCCTCTCTGATGAGCGCCGTGAGGTCGGCTTGCCAAAACACGGCGCAGGTGGACAGCTACAGAGATGGACAGGGGTGGTACAACGCCATTTATCTGGGCGCAGTGTTTCAGCTGAACAAAGGAGACCGACTGTGGACCGAAACCAACCAGCTATCAGAGCTGGAGACCGATGAGGGACGGACCTTCTTTGGTGTGTTTGCACTTTGAAATGACTCTTTGCTGTGATAGTAACAGATACGATACAAAGCCCTGCACAGTGCCATAAGTTCTGGCATTTTATTTTTACATTGTGTATGTTTTTTTCTTACTTTTAATATTATTCATCTCCATGGTGATGTAAAACTGTTTAAATCTCAATGGAGATAAACTTGTAGCCGAACAGGCAGTGCAGACTTTTTTTTAAATCCTATAAACTGTAACAGTTTGCAACATTATTTATATTTTAGGCGCTTTTTGTACATTATTTATGCTGACCTGAGATTGTAGTAGGCTAGACTTTCTCTGCTGTACCGGATACAGACACAGCTCTTCACTGAAGAGATTATGTTCAAGAGTTATGTACAGAACTATTGTCACATGTTTGTATTTATTTGTATTTATTTGTATTTAAATTGTTTGTAATAGGTGTCCAAGATTGTATTTATATGTTAATGTGAACATGAGTTTAATTAAAATCCTAAAAGGAAATACTTACAGAAAAGATCACTGAGTTTTTCTAATTACATAGGATGAAGTCATTTCTAAGCCGAGATAGTAAGGGGAAAGTCGAGTCGGCAAACATCTCAAGCCAGCCAGGGCAGTAGCTCACACACACACACACACACACACACACACACACACACACACACACACACACCACACACACACACACACACACACACACACACACACACACACACACACACACACACACACACACACACACACACACACACACACACACACACACACACACACACACACACACACACACACACACACACACACACACACACACACACACACTGCTCCTAAATTATACTTAGACACACACACACACACACTTTAACGCACTCACACTCACACACACGCACACACACTCACACACACACAGATGCAAACACACAATTTGGCAAGAGCAGCTTTGAAATTCCTCCACAGCCAGCAAATACTTCCTTTGTTAGATTAGACAAGATGAGGGGAATTTCCTATTTTTCTGTGCTGTAGCTGACTGCTGTGTCAGGTGGAGGCCCACAGAAGCCTCAGCCCAGAGCGGGTTTTCCCCAATGACACCCTCCCACCACCCCGATCCCACACACAACCTGCCTCCTCCTCCACACCAGCAACCCCTTTCCCTCTATTACCACATACTTCATCTTCAGTCAGCTGGAAAGAGACATGACATGGCAGTGTGTGTGTGTGACTGCATTCAGTATGCATAATGTGCTATCCTGCTGCACAGCTGGCCTCGTCACATTGTCATCATGTAAAAGCACTTTTCATACAAATATCGGATGTACTTGGGAACCATTTGTCTACTTTTGTGTCTTTTTTTATCCACAAACATCCACTTATTGTCTCAGTAACAACATTCCCGCTAGCCTTTCACAGCTGCTCATTGTGCTGAAAACCATTTCCCAGTTTTGTTTAATGATTTCTTCTTCTGAATTTGCTCTTTGCCTCCCGCAGGCTGATCCGGTAAAAAATAATCAAGTTCAACAGACAAATAAACTCAACGTAACAGAGTTAATTGCTCTAAAGGTCAAAGTGAGTTAGAAGAAGCCACAAATACAAGGTGACATCTAGTGGATGATGTTATTAAGCTGTGCTGTGCAATTAAAATGCATTGAAATTGTGGTCTAACTCATCAAATAGGATCTAGCGTTTCCCGAGCTGAAAAACCTCTGAAGAAAATCCAGTTTCAGTTTGACTTCACAGTGTAGTTTGAAAAATGAACCCTGTACTTCCCTTTTGTTTATGTATTTTCTGTGATGTGGAAAGAAAGGTATCACTGAAACACAAATACACAATGAAAAAACAATTATTTTTATTTATGGTACCCATATATTTGCATACACATACTCTGAAATATATTAACATTTACGATCTTATATATAGTGAATACAAATATCCCCAAATCCATATATATTGTCATATATGTGCAAGATAATAGAACAACTCCTAAATTATTTCTGCATTCATATGTTACACTATCTCTTCCAGGTACTGCACAGTTAATACATATGGCCTATTTCATTCATTGATGTCCTCCTCCATACCCTGAGCTAAAATGTATTAGAATACCAGCAAACATGAAGTGGAATAACCAGTTTGTTCAGTTTAAAGTGCGCACTGACATATATTTGAAAAAATATTTGACAAAGTATTGTTTTACCTGCTGATAAAGCTGTTCAGATATAATTGCTTTTATAACATCTGGAAATAGCTCATGAATGAAATAGTACCTCCAGATTAACTGCTGAATAAATACAGTTTGTCACATAACTTTACGTACATCCTTCTTTGATACATTTACAATTTACCCAAAGGCAAAATGGAAAAAAATAAAATAAAATATAGCATCCATCCAGATTGTCTGTTATGGGAAAACGTAAGAAAAACATCCTATAAAAAAAAAGGCTCACAAGAATAATGTGTATAAAAACTGTGCTTTCTCTAAAGACCCACAGAAATAGCCATCATAGAAGCCCCACGTCTCACCGCACTGCTGCTGTGAAAAATATAAATTGGCTTTCAGTTCCAAGAGGAAGAAAGTACAAACTATTCTTCTGGCATGTTGGAGTTTTCCCGACAAAATGTGAGAATCAGCTGCATTGACTATGGCTGCAGCAGGGGGGGTTATTTGATGGCTACGACTGTTCTTCACTGCTAAAAAGGTACAACACAAATCTCAAAAAATACCATGTAAACATCATCGCAAATGGCAAAAGGTTTCCCTTAACATGAGAAAGCTTGGATACTTTCCTCCTTTGAAATTAGTTAATATTCAGCAAAGGACTGTTTTTTTTTTTTTAGATGCAGTGTTGTACTTGAATACACAGTCCATACATGCCAAGCTCTTAGGCCCTTTCTAAATTATGGCTATTTAATAATGCACATTATCATCTTTCAGTGAAACCAGTATTCACGCGGTGGCGCTCAGCGGACTTTACAATCCTTTGTCCCTTTTGTAAATTCCATTTCCACAACTCCCCTGAAAAGTAAACAAATAATTGAACAACAACTCCATGACAAAACAGGTCAGATATTACAGAACAATATAAACCACTACTGTGTGTGCTTGCCTAGTCAACAAACTCGAGAGACGAACGGTGGAGACGATATAACAAAGACACAAACGTTTCCTTTCAAGATCCTCGGCGAGGTGTCTCCACAACAGAACGAGATAACGAATGGGGGAGAGGAATGATTAAGAGACCTTTCTGTTCACTTTGAAAAAAAAGGACCTCGAGTGCAGCTAGTCTGGACAGTCACAAGTGCCTCATTGCTGGGTCGGACGCAGTGAGATCAAGACTGTGAGGAACGGGTGTTACCTGCGCAATCCCCCCCGAAGCTGCCGCGTGTACAGCGCTCCTGTGAACTTATTTGTGCTTCCACGCCGTTTCTTTAAAACAGTGTCACTACACCGCTGTGCCCCAAACAAGTGAAAGTCACAGTGTGTCATTGTGTTTTGTGTCCCCGTGTGTGTGTGACTCTTGCCCCCCCCCCCCGGTGCCTCGCCTACTTGTACAGCAGTGGGATCTGGCTGTTCTGACAGTGGTTGCGGCTCATCTTGCTGTCGGCCGGGTAAAGGTTGGAGGAGTTGGAGAAGGAAGGCGGGAGGGAGTGATTGTCCGTGGTGGGGTTGGGGTATCCGGGCGGGGGCAGCAGAGACTTGGGGTCGGGCTGGGAAGAGGGCGGGGGGGGCGTTGTGGTTCTGATTCTGGCCAGAGGAGGGTCGGCGGCGGTTGCGTAAAGCCTGTCGCTCAGCCAGCTGGTTGCGGAGTGCGGAAACTCTCTCTTCTTTCTGAAGACACAACGAGAGAAGAGAGACACGGTTATATTTACTGTTGTGTAGCATTTCTGTTTATTTTCATTTTTACAAATCAAGACATATCCTGGACTTTTCCATTCAAATGACAAATAATAATATGGTAAAACAGAATATGAAATACAATTAAGTAAAAAATAAATAAATAAAGTAAAACAGTTACAAGTTAAAATAAGGAAATAAATAAGATCATTATAAAAAATTAATTAGCAATAGTAAATTAAATACAAGTAAATAAAAGCATTTTACACAAGGAGTGACATCTTTAGCAGAGCAGGATCGGTTGGGGACATTTTCCATAATGTTCTTTTGAAACTCAATTAAGTTAAAACAACCCTTTTCAACTAGCTAGACATCCAGGTATCTTTTAACTTTGAGTAGCATTTATAAGTACAGTTACACGCCATAGTCCTTTCTCAAGCAAAAACGCAGAACATTAAGCTAGTTCCCGCTTCTCAAATGAGGATTTGCATCTTTTTCTGGCCGAATATGATAATAAATAAAATATATTAAAGTGTTGCACTGTTGCTCTCAGAGTTCCAAGGCTCTGGGAAACTATGATGAGTAGTTAACAAAATGTCGTCACGTTTATCGGATGGGAGATCCCAGATCTCTGGATCGTCTTACCTGCTGAGGTTAGCTTTGCTTTATCCATCACTGCTGTTAAACCTCATTGAAATTATTTTAACTATGACGTAATGTGTTTCTTGTTGTGAACAATTATATGAACAGTTAAAACAAGTACTTTATGAATAGATTTTTATGAAAATGTATATATTATAGGCTATACTATAAGTCAATAATCGTGAAAATAATTTTTTTCTCAGACATATAAGTGACTTACTGAAGAAATTTCAAACCTTTTTTTGCAGTAATTTCATGGAGCTAAACTCTCATAATTACATTGAATAAAAGGGGAATGCTTAAAAACTATCTTTCACATCTATTAGTGTGAAAGCTAATTATGGAAATAATGTTATATTATCAAAAATACTTAAAGGTAGGGTAGGTAAGAATGGAGAAGCCAGCTCGAGTGCGCTAGAATTTGAAAGTACGCAGCCGAAAAAAATTTGCCCCTTCCTTCAGACTTCCTTACAGAGCCCCTCCTCCAACACACGAACGCGCACATGACCAATGAGGGCACGAGATAAGTTTGTGCACGAGATGGAAAGCTGACAGGCAGGTAGGCCATCCAGTTATTTTAGCCGGCTCAGATGATTGGTTGTGCTTTTTACAGTACAACGGCTTCCACAGATTTTTTAATGTATTTATTGCCAAAGCATTTAATGTATTCATTGCTATCGGGATGTTAAGAGCATTCCATGGAATATAACAAAAAGTGTTTCTGAAGTGAATTACCTACCCCACCTTTAAATGTATTACATACATTATAAAGCGATGAAGGATACATGATACCATAAACATGTCTCTATTTGTAAGTCACAATGTAATGTGTTATTCCTTTTCCTGTTTAAACTAATGAAACAATGTAAGTGTCGGTATAACGCCTCACCTCCTGGATGATCTTCTGCAGCTCCCTGTTCTCTCTCTCCAGCTGTCGGGACTTCTCCTCGTCGTTGTTGTTGGTGGACGAGCCGGTCTTCAGAGTGTCCTGCTGCTCCGACTGCCACTCGCCGCGGGTGATGAGACGCCGCATCTGCACCGCCACAGGAACAGGAAGTCAATAAAACACAAAGATAAGGCTTGAGAGCACGGTTTGCTGAATGAATAATGCATCTTATAAATTTGTTTTAATATCTGCAGCCCTTAAAGCCAAGTCTCTCTCAATGGCCTGAAGGCTAAAGACCTTCTTGTTGTGCTTGGCTCTCTATTGTGTTTTCATTGGATATTCTGTTGATGTCGTTAGATTTTCTGTAGGTGGCACTCTTTCCTCTGTCTGCAGCAGTGCACAACCCAGCTCTTCTTCTGTTCATTCCAAACAAAACAATTAACATTTCTCACTTGTTTGCCAAATCATTTTGTTTTCCTAACACCAAATATTTAATGCAGGCACACATTCATAAAGTAATGTGAAATGTCACAGGTTATTAGAGATCATAGACGGATTAGAAGATTAAGAGATTAGATCTTGAGTGAGAGCTAACTTTGATCATTTCTATAATCTTTCCTAACTTCTTTAACATCACAGTCCCCTGACTGCTGGACCCTCCCTGTATCTCTCTTGTTTTGATTTGTCTTATGTTCTAGGGTTATACAGTTTAAGGCCTTTTTTTGTAATGACATTTTAAATATTATTTATGTTTGACATTAGTGGAATACTTTACTCTTCATTTTGTTCTTTCTTTATGTCATGATACACTTTTTTTAAATAACAAAATATAGTTAGGTTTTAATAGCATAATACATAAAAACATTTGTTCTTAAACAACACATACAGTGCAAACAACCAGGTGTGCAGGTTGTCCAGAGTAAGGCCTTTTGATTGGATTATTGAATATTCTAACCCTTTCTTTCTCATAAACCAACATTGTTTTTCTTATATTATGGGCTATATCTATTAATACAAATATTAAACAAAAATACCAATATTGTTTTGCACCCAACATCAAAAAACAAGTTTTGACCTTTGACCTTTGACCTTTGACCTTAGTGCAAAACAAGTGAATCTTTTAGTGTGTGCAGCATTTCCTAAAGGTGTCAGGGGGGAGTCAGAGCACCTTGGGTACGAAGAGCACCACCAGAGTGATGTAGGCAGAGAAGACGACTGCCAGAGCAGCGAAGGCAAAGGAAGCGTCCTGCTGCGAGGTCAGGATCATGGTCACCGGAGCCGTGATCAGGCACAACACCTGCAGGAGGACAGAGAGAGAGACAGAACCAGATGGAGGGAAACGAAAAGAAACACAAGTTAAAAAATAAAGGAGGAGGAAAAGTGTTGTTTAAAGTCGAGAGAAAAAAGAAAGCAGGGGAAGTGAGAAGAAAGGAGGTGCAGAATGAAGTAGAGATGGAGAGTGAGAGAATGAGAAGGGAGGGAAATCACATCCATAAAAGCATTAAGCATCTGTTTATCATTCCGGGGAGGGCTCCCATGTGAAAACAGCATTCAAAAGTCATGACTGAAGTGGCTACAGCGCGCTGACAATCACCACATTGTCATCTCATCAGAGCCTGGAGCTCACAGCTTAGCGAAGAGGAAGGAGGGCTCTTCACAGACGCCATTAACTATTGACATCATCATAAAACTGAGATGTGTATATCAGAACATAAAATAATAACATTAGGCTCGTCTCACATTACGGAACCACGTGATGAAATGAGCATGCGAGCTGCATTCAATGCTCTCATGAATAACCATGATTGATGGATCCATGGTGACTGAGACTGAGAATTAACATCAACCCTTTTATTTATTACTAAAGTATAAGCTGATAATTGGTGGATGGTCATTAGAATCGTATCTTTTTAAAAGTAAATCAAGGAGAGTGCAGGAAATTCTGGCAAAAAAGCCTGTTTAAAAACAAATAAAAAAATCATTGCCTGCTTTTGATGAAAGCTAAAAACTCCTCCGGCAGTTAAAGTGACAGAAACCACTTTTCTGTAGATTTTGCATCAATTACAAAGTTACCGTGTGTCAAGAGTGTCAGGAAATGGCAGCGAGTATGTGTCTAAAGTTGCTAAAGTGAACATAATGGCAGAGTAAAGTGCATCCTAGGTGCCTCCGTTTAAGATGAGTAGCTTGCTATTAACAGAAGCAGAGGGAACCCCACTTTCCACTGACGGCTGCGTTTTTACCACTGAACTTTAGTTGCTAAATTGCTGCAATTTTAAACCTATTCCGACTAAAGGGCAGTATAACAGCTCCACACTGTGTGAATGCAATCCCTGCCACACACACACACACACACACACACACACAACCATAACACATAACCAAAACTGCACTTAGTTTCCTTCCCATATACAGTTTATGCTCAGCATGAGATTGCAGCACTATAAAGGTTTAGTGTTTCACCTTTCAGTTTATTTTGACTTATTCACTTTTATTTCAACAGGTAGTCCTTTTGAAAATAATATTTATTACGTGAAAAGTCACATGAGACGGTCGTTCACAGGCACCATAAGCATCAACATGTGTGATTCGTACATACAGCAGCCTGTTCTGGAAGTATTATGATTTGGATAAGAACGTGTCGAGGGATCTGCATTTTAAGGAAGCAAAGCTCAACATGTGCTTCTGGGAAAGCTTGAATATTTGAAATAGTGTTTCTGTGTCTCCTATTGCTCTAACCGATCATTACACCATCATGTACATTTCTGTATTTTATACTACATCATTAATCTTTAATGTTCAGAACATCCCAGAGGTTATTTCGCAAGAATCATAAACATTAATACTCTGTTGTGCCCACAGGGGACTTTATGTTGTGTGATTTATAAAGATGGATGCAAACGATGAATGTAGAAATCTTGATTTTGAGACGAAAGCCTATTTATTCTTTTAACTACATTTTATCCTTATAGGATATACTTTAATGTGTTGTTGTGCCATGTTCAGCCACTTATCTACTTACAAAAGGAATATACACCACACTCATTAAGGGGGCATTACGTTATCTATGAACTCCATTAACTTATATAACAAAACAGCAGAAAGAAGAGTAGCCCCTCGAGAATGAAACTTTTAAGCTTGTGTAGATATAATATCCATCACTGGTCTGTTGCCTCTTTTGCTCTGAAATGAGCAGTAAAGCAAAACAAAACATGAGCCTCAGACAGAGTAATCATGGAGGCAGTTGCATTGATTAACCCACCCACAGTTATAATACGGCCATTTTATAATATGGGGCATACAAATCGTATTTATAGCCACGTTAAAGTTATTCATTGTGCTTTTAGCAGAAGGCAGCATCCAGAAACAGGAGTTTAGGCGTGACGGTGCCATTTCTTTTTTGGACTCACAGCGACATTGTAAATAGCCATCCCCACGGCCCGGTGGTCATTGATCTTCTCTGTGGAGACGGACTTGGTCTCGTAGGCCAGGAATATCCCCAGGAGCAGCAGGAGACCCTTGTAGCCGTAAACCACACCTTCAAGAAGAAAGAAGCAGTGGAAAAACATGAAAGGTATATAATACGATATGTGTAATGCAACTGAGGCAATTATTAAAAGAAACAACAGTACTGTATGGAAACAAATGCAGGATGAATAATGTGAGATTTTGACAGACAAAGTAACAGAAAGATAAATAATGCTTCCCTGAAGAAAAACTCAAATGCTTCAGCATTCAGTTTCGCTTACCATTTCCAATTTCTCTTACACGACTATGCACTGCAACATTTGTTTTGTAATTATTTATTTTACTTGTTCGAAATAAAATGTATCAATCAATGTTGTCTTTTAAATTGACAAAAATGTGGCCCTGTTGGTCTCCATGTAGGAAACAGTTATTACGGTAAAATCTTAACTTAATTGAGGTTAAGCAACTATCATGACAAACAGCTGTTAGGACACACAGGGGGGGGGGGCGGGGATTCACAAGGAATGTCGATAAAAACAACCATGAACTGAGCATCATTTGACACCGCTTTCTGACTCATCCCATACAGCGCAAAACATAGCCATAACGTTTTGGGGCTGAGCGCAATTTGACCTTTCTTTGCAGAACTCATTTGCTGAATTTGTTCATTGTTTTTTGTCTTATTTAACTAACCCTTCAAAATCTGCACTATGCTTTTTTGAATACAATATTCATATCATTTGAACTACAGATTTATTTTTTGGATCAAAATATAAGATACACATATATATATATATAAATATGACATAAATCTTTAAAGCAAGGAACATGTTATGCACATTGCAGGATGAGGAGATGCAGTATTAATGATATTTTAGGACATGAAACGAATAGAAGGTCACCCTTGAAAAAGAGATCTTTTGATCTCAAGGGGCTTCACCTGGTTAAATAAAGGCTACAAACAAACAAACAGAAAACCTGCAAGATGACATGAACCCCCTTTGCTTCTAGTGGAGGTTACATTGTGAACAGATCGGTGTGGCCATCGACGGACTATGACCGAGTGGTGCAGGGAGAGGAAACCAAAAATGTACCTTCAATAGAAACTAAATTGCAAAAAGGCCGAATATCCTGAAAGCTAGTTAGACTGACGGGGGAAAGTGAAAGAGAGAGACGAGGGGAATAAAAAGAGGACGTGTGACGGAGTAAGTTGGACACTTCTTCCCACTGTCCATTGTCTCCTTATACCGCCTGATATTAAAGCACCATCTTTTCTTCTCTGAGAAGGGAAATGCTATGGGGCAATGGCCCAGTTTGTGACCCACATTATTTGAATTCCAGCACCATTATATTTTCATAAGAGCTGCCACGCTAAGGAAGTCAGCAGAGAGACAGACAGGGAGAAAGACGGACTGCGTGGGCCGACAAAAAGAGAAGCAAAGAGAGAAAACAGAGGAATCAAACTGAAGAGGGGTGGTGGGGGCCGAGCGAGGAGGCTGTGATTTGAGGCCTGTTTAATTCAGAGTGAATGGTAGTGACATGTGTGTGTGTGTGTGTGTGTGTGTGTGTGTGTGTGTGTGTGTGTGTGTGTGTGTGTGTGTGTGTGTGTGTGTGTGTGTGGTGTGTGTGTGTGTGTGTGTGTGTGTGTGTGTGTGTGTGTGTGTGTGTGTGTGTGTGTGTGTGTGTGTGTGCATATGTGCCTGCATATGGCCATGTGTGTGACAAAGCTTGTTCAAAACCAGAGCAGGGCAAAGAGTGATAAAGAGACAGATTGTGATATGAGAGAGTAAAAAAGAAAGAGAGACAACGCATACCGAGCCACGTGTTCATCTTCTCTGAGCTGCAGTGCTCCAGCAGGGGCTGAATCAGGACATCCAAATCTTCTTTAGGGGCCTCCCTTGTGAACTTCTACTCGCACGGCAGACAGAGGACGAGGAGAAGAAGGATAAAGAGATAGAGGAAAGAGAGAGATATTGAGAAACAATGACACAGCAGCTCTCTGGAGATGGAGGACAAACTGCACAGTAAGCTCGAGCACCAGTGACTGCACGGTTGATCCCCTCGAGCAAATAGCTCTTTACCATATGTCAGAAATAAATGACTGAAAAAACTGAGTATAAGATATCCAATAAATATGAAATATGGCTATTTAAATTCACAATTTGACAGCACTGTGCAGATAAGGGCTAATGATGATGAATAGAGTCTACTCTTGTTCCTCCAGAGGTCGACTGCACTGAGTGCGCACTACATGCACATTAGTGTCTCCATGTTGTGTCTCATGGAGGTTTTTAATGACATTCTAGATATGCTGTTTAAAGTTGAAACAGTATCACGGTTTCTGTGTCTTGATCTTAGAACATGTCAGCCACTTATCAATGTACTGATTGTGTCAGATAGGTTTGTGGCTGTGCTTAAAGAAGCGTGTCCATCTGATCACTGGGAATAGAAACTATAGCATCTATGACAAAGTGACTAACAGAGTTCATCTGAACACAAAGGATTCAACTAGCTTTGAGGTTTCTAATATTGGGGCTTATCAGGGAAATCAGGATACTCCACCAAAGAGTCACACAATGGAATCATGAGGTTTCACCTTTGTTGTAAATATGAAAGGTATTCTGTGGAGTTTTTATCTACTAGTGGCAGTGTGGAGCTTTGCTTTTGTAGTGTTTTGCATATTATAAATCACTCACGTGTACTGTAAAAGTGCATATGAACAGTTGATGGTGGTAACATATTGTAAAATGTAGTTAAATGTAAGAGGGCTGCTAACTGACGTAAACATGAGTTTCAGATCATCAAAGCGGCTGTATACGAATATATTAAAGTTTCAAGACAATGTATCTACTTATACATGTAAAGTGTCACTTCTATTGTTGAATACACAGAGGATTACTGCGTGTTCCTTCAGGCTCAGCACTAAATCGTGTTTTAGCATTTTCCAGCGTATTGTTTTGTTTTCCAGGACAGCGACTACTCTCAGCGCTCTCACAGTGTCCCTTTCGGCTGCTGCTGCTGTCAGCTGTTTTCAGTGAAAAATGATATAAATATCCATTGTCCACTACCTGCTAAGCACCAAACAGGAGAAATACAATTTGGACCCAAGCTGGTGAAATGTGTGGAGCATTAAGTCAGCTGAATAGCCATGTATTTTCATTAGGAGTGTTACATCTTAAAGCATATGAAGGTTGCTAACTCGTAAATATGCTGTAAAACCACCACAATAAGATGGGCTGGTTGATAAGTGTGTGTTTTCTGCACTTTGAATGCTGAAAATGTGCGTCCCTTGATTCAGTGTTAATCAAAAATATTAATATTAAGAGCAGCTTTAATGAAGCTAAACAATCTCATAAGACCTTTAAAAGATAAATGTTTAATAAGCCAGGATTTTTCATTTTAATGAATTTAATATGTGTGTTCGCCCAGTGGATTTTGGTTCACAGTTTGTACCACAGGGTATCTTTAGCAGTGCTTACACTATTGAACACAAATCAATTGGATTATTCGGGTCATAAATGTCACTGTTTTAGTGCTTCTGTGTGGCTCTGCTTTGTGATTGCTATCCTTGTTTTGGATTGTGCTCTTTGAGTGTAAGATGAACCAAAATGAAAGAACATTTCTACAAACGACGCGCGGTGTCTCATTACTGCGCTATTGACTCATGACAACGGCTGCCCGGTCTGAGCTCACGGCCGGTGACACACACATTATCTCATCTGTCATTCGCACTCTACCTCCACCGTAATGTGCAGGGGATCCACAATCTGCCAGATCACGAGTGACAGGAAGTCGATAGCGAGCAGCACTCCAACTGTTGCGTAGAGTTTCCATGGCTCCAAGTGTTGCTATGAGCAAAAAAAAAAACACACATGAACACACACACACACACATAGATGCACCACAGTTATCAGTTTCCAAGGGCATCACAAGCCATTCCACAAACAAAGACAAACAACCAGGACGAATAATATGACAGGCGTCCTTGTGATTTCTGGATGACTGGGCGCGAATTGTCTTTCTGAATGTGTGCGTTAAAGTGTGTGTGTTTGTGTGTCTAAGTATAATTTAGGAGAAGTGTGTGTGTGTGTGTGTGTGTGTGTGTGTGTGTGTGTGTGTGTGTGTGTGTGTGTGTGTGTGTGTGTGGCCTAGCATTACTATACTTGTGGGGACCTAAATCTGTTTACATAGTCACGTGTGGGGAGTCGCCTCCCTTATGGGGACAAATTGGAGGTCCCCATGAGGGGAATCATTAATTTTAGGGTAAAGACTTGGTTAGGTTTAGGGTAAGGATTAGGGTTAGGCATGTGTTGGTTATGGTTAAGGTTAGGATAAGTCTCCAGGAAATGCATGTAAGTCAATGTAATGTCCCCTGAAGTGATGTATACATGGTGTGTGTGTGTGTGTGTGTGTGTGTGTGTGTGTGTGTATGTGTGTATGTGTGTGTGTGTGTGTGTGTGTGTGTGTGTGTGTGTGTGTGTGTGTGTGTGTGTGTGTGTGTGTGTGTGTGTGTGTGTGTGTGTGTGTGTGTGTGTGTGTGCGGCTGATATCAACTCCATTATTCTTAACTTAAGCTATAATGGAAGCAATACAGCCGTAACCAAGAACAAGAAACCACAAATCAGCTCTGCTACTGCTACTCCCTCCTCTTTCTTTCAACACATCTTTTTTCATTCGACCACGCTGGCTTACCCCCAGCTACTCCGAGGTAGTAACAGCTATTCAAGCGTACAATAACTAAAACTGAAAATAAAATAAAGCAGAAAACACATTACACAGTCCTCGGCCTCTTCACTTGAGTTACATGAACAATGATTGGTTAAGCGCTCATTCTCCCTTCGATTTGTGAAAATTCCTTTAAATATCATGCAGAGCTCTCTAGCAAATGGCCCTTCTGTGGACATGAAGAGAGTTGAAAGTCAACCCGATTCGTTGTGCTTTGGCTCAAATAATAAACCCCCCTAAGGTTGGAATTCTGCAAAGAACTTTAACACTCATCCATATTCATAAATATTCCATAAATGGCTTAATCTCTTATTCTTCTGATTAGGTCTTAGAACATTCCCACAACACATCACAGACTGTATCTGGCTGGCTCCAGGACACACTATCTTCAAGAGGAGGCACACACACTCCCACACACACCAGCAAGTCAATACATCTGATGACGTGGGTAGCAGGGGATTGGTTTTATGTGCCCCTAATCTGCATGTGTTTTTATGCATAATTGTTGCATGTGTGTAGAGATGCATGTGCATATTTTAAGTACAGTATCTATGTCAGTGTGTCTCAAACACCCTTATCCCTGCACGCTTTCTACAACCCTGCAGAAGTGAATGATGCCGAGCTGGCCTCTTAGAAGCTTATGTTACTAGGAAGCCTGCAAAGTTTTAAACTTGACTTTTTATCAGCTGGCGCCACACATGCTGCGCGGCCCGGCCTCCCTCTCTCCCATCCTCTCTCTGCTCTCCAAAGACCGCTGAGAGGCTTATCCCTCCCTCTCTCTCTCCCTCTCTCTCTCTCCTACACTTCCTCCCTACCTTCTTTTTCTCCTTCTTTTCGTCCTTCTTCGTGAAGAGGGTGTGGACCCACCAGATCTTGGTGAACATGCTGCCGTACGCCAGGCTGAATCCGAGGCCGAGGAGCCACAGGCGGAACTGGAGGAGGGGAGAGGAGGGGAGAGGAGGAGAGAGAATTTTAATTAAAAAATTATTCAAGGGTGTAGGTTTCAGAAATAGCAGCACAACTAAGGGAAAAACAAACAATCTTCTTTTTCTACAACTAAAAATATAATATAATATAAAGAATTCATGATAACATTGGTTATTTTTCATAGAACTAGTCAAATATATATAATTCATATAATATATATATAATTCTATGCATTCATAGAAATGATAATGTTGTATTTGCATTTTTGCTGCAAAGCGTTCTAGCATTCTCCTAAAGACAAATATTTACTGTACATATAAAAATATAGATCTCATGCATTTTTTAATCCTAATGCAAGTTTTTTCAGTAGATTTATCCCTGAGTAGTGTCAGCAGAGAGAGAAAGATAAATAGAGAAGGTGATGAACGAAAAAGAGACAATATTTATTTGAGGAAAGTTATTGCAGCAGATAAAGAAAAGCTTTCCAGAGTAGGTAGAGGGTCAGAGGCGGAGTGCAAGAGAGAGGAAGAACAAAGCCTGAGAGAAAATAACTGGACAGGGACAAAGAGCAGGGAAACGACAGAAATGGAAATCTCCCTCTCTCTCCCACAACAAAAAGACTCAACACGGGCGACAGAGGAATCACTCCCACTCCTCATTAGTGCTGGGATCCCTCCGCCTGCGCTACTCTGCCAGCCAGCATATCATGTCTGTGCCACTGAATACCAAAATACATTCAAATACCTAATGAATTATATTAGCGTTTGCGTGATCAAACTCCTGAAATAAGGTTCGCCGGTGTCTGCTTTCCACAGGCAGCAACAACGAGCCTGTCAGAAAAACCTAAACGTGGGTTTGCATAATGGCTGTACTAAAACTGACAGATATAACTGTAAATGTTTGTCGCCCAAAGAAAGTCCAGCAATACTGCCAATACAATATTAAATAAAGCAAAATGGTACGCTCTTACAGATTGTCGACATTTTAAACTTTGAGATGCTACGTGTTGATGCGGGTGGACCAGCCTGTACAACTTCCTGCTGTGCATCCAGACATTGTGATGGTATTTTAAGATCAGTTGTGATGCCAAAATGCTCACAGATATCAAATGAGTGAGAATTTTTGGGAAACATGATTCACAGTAGATGTAGAATGGTCCACTCTGATGGAAAAGTGCCGCCATAAAAACATTGATTTCTTTGCAATTCACTCAGCGTGGACTCCACAAAGCTTTACTTAAAAGCTGGAACACAATTAAACTCAATTTTAACACAATGTGATACGGTCAAAAACTGTGAAATGAGAGGAAATTCTCAAACTTTAAATGATAACAGCTCGAATAAGATGAATACTTTATATTGAAGTCTTGAAATCGAATGCAAGTGTATCTCAGTTGGGTAATGAGGAAGGGGAAAGCACTGTTTGTTAAACTCTTTTCCAACTGATATGTATCATTTATTTTTTAAATGTTAATGTAATTTATGTATATACAGTATGTCTATGCTTCTGTTGGATTTTGGATTTTTTAAAGAATTGTTTTATTATCCAGAATATTTTATATTGTTTAAATTTGATATGCTATTTTCATTTTCATTTAATTTTGAATTGTTCATTCTCTATTCCACTTTTTAAGTATGTGTATTTTAATGTTAAACAAACCCCAAATCCCATATTAAGCTCAATAAAATATATCTATCTATCTAATCTCAGTTGGACTGGGTTGGGTTTTCATTACCAAGGCAACAGGAGTTATATTTGTCACTACTAGTTCAAAGGTAAAGATGAACAAATGGATAACAAACCATAAAAATCTGAGTTGAATTGCTTCTATACTTCCTCTGAGCTCATTTTCAACACGTCCTGTAATCAAAATGAGTTGTTGGGTACAAACATCAAGTCAATGAAACCAATTATTTGCAGACAATATGCAGCCCTCCTCCGCATCCTGCCCTCTAGCTGTTTCCTCCCTCTGTCTGTCTCTCTCTCTCCTGTTACCTGGCAGACGACGGGGAACTGAGATCTGTGGACGTGGTGACCATCAATCCCCAGCGGGAACACAGCAGCCAGAGCCATCATGCAGCCCACCGCTGTCATGTTGTTCAGGTACGGCTGAGAGTTCTGGATGTAGCTGGAACAGTGACAGATTCACACATGAGGACAGGGAAACAAACACATTCAGGGAAACAAACACACTGGTAATTACAATTTCTGCTTAGAGGCACGAATGGTCAATTTGAAGGTAAACAGAGGTTAATTGTGTAGGTGACCTGGCTGTCTGCTCGTAGAAATGTTATCAATTGCTGTTCATTGTTTCTTTTAAATTCATATTTTATCTGTATTTTCTGATTCTGACAGCAAAATGCATTTCCTTGGATGTGGGGTAGATAGTCATTTGTCTCATAAGTGTAATTGTTACAAATGTTTTATGACAAAAATGTAGTGAATGTTAAAAAAAAAGGACATTTGTGAAACCGCAAACCAAACTAAACCGTTTAAGTTAATAAACTCAAGCATACTCAAATGAGACAGTGTAAAAAAAATGGGTTGGTTAATTAGTAATGGTTATTCCCACAATGCAATGCAGAAAGAAAGTGCATGATCTGCTTAAAGCTGGGTGAATAATAATGAAATAAATCTTTGTTAGATAAACTGATCCAAAAAGATATTGGAAAACTAGGAGAAAATGTAACTTTACAAACGTCTGTTGATAAAGTTGAATTATCACTATTATTCCAAAAAAATCTGTTTAATGGACGTGTGATCAGCCATGTTTATTCACTTTACACTTAATCTTTCAGTTTCTCAGAAATACCCGAATAAAAAAAACTGGACTTATACTGGACAGAAAGGTTAAAACAAATGTATATCTGAAGTGTGAATTAAGCCTTCAGACTAATTAAGTAAACAGTACAATATTTTCCACATTGATTTTCGTGCATGGGCAAAAATATTTGGAACATTTGATCAAGAACACAATGGAAAAAGTGAAGCACAGTATTTAAGGAAATGTACTTGGTTACATTCCTCCACTGGTGAGTTCAACCCAGTGTTTTATACATGCTGCTATAGAGAAAACCTCACTATTATAATACTCTCAAAGACTCCAGATTTGGGTGTTTTGATATTTTCTGCACTTTATGATAACACCAAGTGAAGCAGTTTTCCTCTGGCCCTCAGCTCCAGCTCTTCCTGCAGCAGAAGGTGTGTCTTTAGTTCTTTCATCCTGCTGACCTGCCATTGTGTTGCCCAAGGCCACACTGCTTATTTACTGTACAGCAACACTATGTACAGCCTGCATACACACATACACACACACACACACACACACACACACACACACACACACACACACACACACACACACACACACACACACACACACACACACACACACACACACACACACACACACACACACACACACACTCACTCACACACACACACACACACACACACACTGGCCCCAATCCAACCTTTTGATACCTCAGAGAAACCTTTAATGCTGTTACATACCATGCATATGTGATGTTCAGTGCACTGCAGGAGATATTTTCTCATGTGGAGTGCTGCTTTCTTCCGTTTGTTTGCACCATGTCTAGTGGTTGCTTTGAATCCGAGAATATGTTCATGTCTCTGGGAATTTTTAATAAACTAAGTTCTTGTTTGATCTTCAAGGACCAACATTGGATTGCTCATGATGTTTTAGATCACTGAGATTTTCTGGGATCAAACTGAACTGTAGCTTCCCTGGACACATTAGAAGATCATATCAATTGGCATATTTATCAAATGGTTAATATTAATAGTGTTTTTGTCAAACCGTTGCTTAACCACACATGTTTGTATTGAAATAAAAAAATATGATTTATTTAGCAAAAACTGTTTTCCATGAGCCCTTAAATGGAAAACACATGGATATTTCTTCACAGTATTTTGGGATGTTTCTCATTTATTTTGCACATTTTGAGGTTCAAATTCTTAATAAAGTTCTCGAAAACCAAAGGGAGCTGCATATTCAGATGATAATTATTGAGCATTGCCATTTGATACAGGGCTATGATTAATAACAACATCTATTGTTTTTCACTTTTCTTTGTTCCCAAAATTGTTATGTTTTTTTGTCTCTCACAAGGCAGTTGGCGGCAAAGTCTTTTTGTGAAAACAGCTTACAGAATACATTTGATTTGATCTGACTCATACTGTTTTGGCTGCTAAAATCAGCCCTCGTGAAACTGTTTTTGAAATATAATCAAAGCCAGAGGAAGGCCTGACTGGCACACCAAAGCCAGTCTGAGATCCCAAACGAAACAAACTTTTTCCAGCTTTAGGAAAAACTCCTGATAAGCTCGTGGACTTGTGGGACTTTAAATCCCTTTGACCTCAGTCAAACACAAAAATACTTTGTTGAAAAGAAATCAGAGATATGCTGCGGCGGGTTCACAGAAATATATTAAGCTTAGAAATCCGAGATGAAAAGGCAGTTTTTAAAGGAGGTCTATTTGCATTTGGTCTAGGGCTAAGCTTAAGCTATGACAACAATACCAGATGCTAGACTGGAAAACGCCACACCCAGATAACTTTGGATTCACTGAACTCGAGAGGCAGCGATGCCTTTCAGCATTTACATTAACCCCAACAGAGGTGAGGTTCTCTGTTGAACAGGTGAATTCTTTTTTAACAGCCTACAAAAACTCCCATTCACACACGCAGGCTCCACAGTGACCTGCTCTGATGGAGCAGATGGGTGTTGTTAAGGATGTTCTTCCCATTCACTGCTGCACAAACAGCTGACCTTGATGTAACAATGAAATATATTTAACCTCCGAGGCCCAACTTAGTTTATCTATCAATTTTCATTTTTTCCAAAAATCCTTTTATTGATGACCTCGTTCTCTGAAGGACACATTTACTTTCACAATTCCTCGAAGCAGTAAACATCTTTTTTTTCAAAGATTTTTTCAACTTCATCTGCTGATAATTTTCTCGAGGAATTGGTTAACTGTTTGGTCAACAAAATATCAGAAGTCAGTTTAAGATACTCCTGACAAATTCTTAAAGCCCATTGCTTTAAAAATGTCTTATTTATTCAGCCAACAGTTTTAAAAGGCAAATATATTAAATATACTTTATTGTAAGACCAAGAAAAGCTACAAATTATCACATTTGAAAAGATAAAATCACTGTTTGGGAGTTTTGATTAAAAATCGACGATTCATTGATTCTCAACATTTTCCTTTTCGGTCAATTGACTATTCACTTATAGCTGACACACTTATAGCCCCAATGAATGAGAGAACTTCAGCTGACCGTTGGGCTGTGATTCAAACAATAATATTTCCTGTTAGTCAACTCACCGGACGTTTCCGTTGTAGATGTTGAAGGTCAGACAGACGATGCCGAACAGGATGCCGAGGCCAGCGAAAACGGACAAAGCTGCAAACAGCTTCTGAGACAAGTAGCGGTACTCTTCGATCACCACTGTCCGATCAGCCGGAGGTCCAGCACCTGAAAGAAAAGAGAGATAATTAGACAACTTCACTATACGTTTCAGTGACATATATTGAACTTTTTATAGAACATATTAACAATTTTGAAACTTTTCAATATTGAACATATGCTCTGCTAATTAAGTATGATCTATTTGTACAGATACATCTAGAACAATCATGAAGTAGCTCCACCTTGACCAACAACGACATTGAAGTACTGCTCACATATTAATACAACAATTCCAATTATATAACATTAATACATTTAACGGTAGACACTCTTTTGTTGCTAATACATCGACACTTCTACTGAAGTGACATTTCAACAACTTTTACTTTGAATGGAGTATTTTTACACTGTGGTATTGTTATTTCACTGAAGTAAATAGTGTACATATTTCCTTCACCACTGCTATATTTCAGTAGATAACATACACATGTACACAGCCAGCGGGTTAGCTTCAGTGCATAAACTCCAAAACCTCCATGTAATATTGGTAATGCTGAAGCACAGCCAATATACAGCCATGCCAATGCTAATTTGGTTACTACAGTAAAGTTGTAAGCAAATAGAAACATTTGGTGTTAATTAAGAGTAAAAAGTGTGTGTGTGTTTATGTGAACGACCCCCTTAGTTATGCTTGTGCTGCTTTTGGATTCCTCAGCGAGAAGAGTTCAAAGAGTGGCAGATGGGCATCGAGCCTCGGTTCACCCTCAACAGCCTCCGACTATCCGTCTGCTAAACCTAGGACTGATTTGTGTGTATGTGTGTATGAGTGTATGTGTGTGTGTGTGTGTGTGTGTGTGTGTGTGTGTGTGTGTGTGTGTGTGTGTGTGTGTGGTCTGCAGTAGCTGTATTTGTGCTGCCACCTGAAATCGTCATTTATAGGAATGAGTGTGTGTGTGTGTGTGTGTGTGTGTGTGTGTGTGTGTGTGTGTGTGTGTGTGTGTGTGTGTGTGTGTGTGTGTGTGTGTGTGTGTGTGTGTGTGTGTGTGTGTGTGTGTGAGAGAGAGAGAGAGAGAGCGAGAGAAATAGAGGGTGACAGAGTGTTTGTCTATATGTCAAGGGGGAAGCAGAGCAGGAGTGTCAGCCCGGCGTGAAGCTGATGCGTCAGATGGGGAAGTGTCGGGGTGTCGTCCCCTCAGGGGTCGCAGTGTCAAACCAACACTCCCATTATGCTCTCTGTTTAGATCATTGTCACTGTCGTCACACCACCGTCGTGTGTGTTGTTTCAGCTGAGGTATGACGACATAAAATACTTCTGCAGGGTTTACAGACTTACATTTTAAACTTTTAATGCCACATCTAAAGCAATTTATTTCAGGATCATGCTTGCCAACGTATGACCCTGAAACAGGGATTAAATTAGAGTCTGATGGAAATCCAGTAGTAAACATATGGCCTAGAATTATTAATCAGTATATCACATTTCTGACTGTTTTAGAGTATTCTGTATCAATTATTTCAATTATTTCCTGAATTCAACAGTTGTATATTATGAAACGATTAGCTTTATTGTTAGTAGAACTACTATCACTGTCTATGCCAGACAAAACTCAATATTTTGGAAACTAAATATAACTCTTTTTAAAGAGGCCCTTTTATGCTTCCATAACATATGACATCACTATGTAACACTTCTATTGGCTAGCGCTTCAACACCTTGTATGTATAGGCTAAGGGGCGGGACATCTCCAAGCAGTTGGCCAATCATAGCAAAGCAAGCCAGCTAACCAATTAGAGCAGACTGGGCTCTGGTTTCAGACAGAGGGAGGAAAGAGGTGCTGCAGCACAGGCAGCATGAGAAAAATAACGCACTTTTTGAACATTAAAGCATGGAAACAAGTCACAGTAGAGGGACAAAATACAAATATTAACTTGAAAAGAGCACAATAGGGCACCTTTAAGACGTTTCAAGACCTGCAGATATGCTTCAATGTAAGCGTTCCACATTTTTCACGTGACATAAAGAAGATGTTGTATTATGAACATGTTTGTCCATCTGTGCAATTTACAGCATATCTCCTATACGAGCAACATGAAAGCATTCAGTTCCACAAAACTGCAGTGACCCAACTCGTCACATATATGTGTTTTACAAAGGTAGCTTTAAACGTGACAGATGCTGCCAGTGATTTGAGAAAAACAGGAAAGGAGAGCACTTAAAGAACCAAAATGAAGCAATAATTTACAAGCAATGCTCTAGAGATGAGAAGAAAATTACAACAATGCTGTCTGATAAATAAACATACAACCCTGCAAACATATATTTCTTTTTTTCGGCCTTCCTCAAAGCTCTTTTCCCACAAGCTATTAGCCTGCAAATCAACAACTGTTTCATAAATATCCCATGTTTTTAATCTCGCTTTTCTAAAGTCTATAACCTTGCTTTTATTAAATATGACTAAAAGCTGTGTTATTTATTATGACTGTGTTTAATGTTATTTAAATTGAATTATTCTTATTCTCTGATGTTTAATTGTATTGTATTGTTTTGTGTGCCCCCTTTGAATTCAGCTGGTTAGCACAGAATTTAACATAAAGCCCACTTTTATTACTATAATGATATGCATTAAAGCGAAGAATATGTGAATAAATTAGTGCACAGCATGAAACAGCATAACTAATACTGCGTGTGTGTGCATATGTGTGTGCATTTGTCCACGGTCCATTCAGTCGACGCGCAGCACTATTTAAACCCTCCTCCGTCCTTGATCAAGGAATCAGGACAGGATGTTGCCATGGAGACCCAGCTCTATAACAGTTGCCACAGCGATTAGAAGAAGAGCTAAACTGAAGTGGTTGTTAGGGCGACCGTGCAGTGAGAGTAAGAAAGGGAGGCAAGGGAGACGCCTGGTAAACAAGTGGCGGGGTTAAGTCTAGAAAACCCCCCTGTGTACTCCACCCTGTCAGCGTGGAGCAAATCAAGCGCGCCCCAACTGTCGACTGTACCCCAACTGACAGAAAGCAGGAAATTACTCATTTCCTCTCAACGGGAAGATGTCAGATGAATGTGTCTTTGTTTGGTAAACAGCATAAAATCAAATCATGCTCCAATGTATTCAAGTCCATTTACTCAAATATTGTAATTAAGTACGATTTTGGTGTACTTGTACTCAAATTGAGTATTTTTATTTGATGCTTCTTTATACTACTGCACTTCAATTTGGAAGCCAATATTGTACTATTTACTCCATTATATTTATTAGACTAAGTTAGTTACTACTTACTTTACAAATTAGGATTATTACTAGCTAATACACTATTTTTTTCTCATACTGATATTCTGAACAATCTGTGCTGTTGTATTAGCTGTAAAGTGTCTTTACTGTAGGCTATTTTTATTTTATTTACAGCACTTTGGCTCGACCACAAATCGTTTATAAATGTGCTATATAAATAAAACTTGATTTGATTTGAATATATAAATAAATAAATAATATAATTATAGGTTAAGATGTGAGCGGTAGAATATAATTCAAAGTCCCTCCACCTTTAGCAGCTGTGATCATGCCCGGCGCCGTGGGAGGGCCAGGGAGGGCCAGGCCCTCCCATTTGACAATCCTGCCCTCCCCCAATAAACACGTTTTTTATTATTTATAAAAATTAAAAAATATATATATTATATTTTTTAAATTATAAATAAACTGTGAACTTTTATGCTACGATGTATGTGATGTCAGAACTAAAAAAAAAAATCGCAGGCGCCAGGCTACGTCAAATAAATGCAAGTGTCTGTTGTGATTTGTGATTCGTCCCCATTTAGACCAATCACAGCGTCACACTCTGCCGCCTATTCTGGATTTGTTTATTGTGCATTCTGTAGATTCCCATTTCTGTTTGAATTACAAAATGGACATCAAAAATTGGCTTAAAGATCAAATGCAAAGGTTTTTTAATAATTGGCAGTAAAATCGAAATCATATAGCTACAACACTATCTAGAGTGATATAAGATATTGCAGTATTAAAATCGGAGATAAAATGCGTCTGGCAATGCGCAATATTTATTTTGTTCAACACCAAGTCCGACGATTTATTTTCTCAGCCGCTCCTCCGCAAGATGGCGTCGCGTGACGTCACAGTGGCCAAACAAACAAACCTTGGCTTATCGCTCACAGCTGCTTCCGCCGATAGTACAACTTAGTTTCGTTATCATGTCTGATTCTGAGTAGACGACAGACTAAAAGCTTTAGGAATCAAAACTATAAGATATAATAAGTACCCTGTATCAAGATTGATGCAAAACAAGTGACGTTTGACCTTTTTAGAGAGGTTTAGAAAAATAAAGTCCAGGCGGACTCACCACTGGGTAATTTGGGAACCATCACAACCAAACACAATGCTAACAGTGAGACTCTGAATTAGCCAGGGAGATTGTTTTCAGGAAAAAAGCGCACTTTTGCCGCTGCATGGTACACAACAGACCATGGCTTGAATATTTGTTAAAAGCAGACCCAGCCTTTTGTTTCCCCTGTAGACAGTTTAAAGTGAATACGTCTTCACCTGATGCAGCTTTTACTGTCAAAGGTGTTTGCGACTGGAAACACGCATTACAGACTGATAAAGGACTGTTAAGGCATGCCGCATCAAAAGAACACATTTCATGTGAGAGTGTGTGGAGAGAGAGAGAGATACGCGAGGAAACAAATAAGGAAATTAGAACTTTGGTGCAGATCAGCTGGCACGGAGCTGTTATTACGTGTCAGCTGTCGTTGATATTATAGCTTTTTTAGCTGTCAACCAACTCCCTCTCAGAGGTGACTCGATTCACTCCACAGCATGTCCGAGTGCAGTGCATCGGAACATAAACCATGCCCAAGGGGGGCTAAACAGTTCAACATCTCCGTCTCTACTATTTATCTCCGAGTGCAGCGATGAGGAAGCTGCCATCCGTAACCAGTGTGCCTTGCTCGTGATTTACCAGTGCCTGTGCTGCCACGCACACAATGTTTCAAAGTGGTTGCTATGTTGCCCTTTATTTGTGTATGTTTGCGATAAGTGTGCGTCTTTACGCAATGCCGTTGGCCTTGCTGTTTGATATATATTGTGCCGCAGGCCCGCAGCACGTGACGGTTTTGTGTGCCCTCCCATGAAAATCATATGCCCTCCCCTTAGATTTGTTCTGGCGCCGGGTCTGGCTGTGATGAACACATTAACGCAGCAATAGTTATACTCCAGTAATTTCATATATATGATTAGAAAATGGGACATTTTGCACAATAGGTGCTTTTACTTTTCATGTCAATACTTTTGTACTTTTACTTAAGTAAGACTTAAAATGCAGCACTTTTACTTGTAACGGAGTGTTTTTACACAGATATTTTATTTATTTTAAGTAAAAGTAGAGTACTTCTTCCACCTCTGGAAGCAAGGCAACATAACCCGTCTCTGATAGGTAGGAGAGCCAGTCGGTTTCTATCCAGCTGGTGTTAACTGGGCTAACACAGAGCCTGTCACGTTGCAACACGGCGAACTGATGGAGGACATGTTTCCTGTGTGCATACAGGTCACCCGTCCCTCGCCACCGATGCTGACCTGGAATCACTACCTCTCTACTGGGTTAAGTTTGGCAACTGATCGTTTCTTTAAAGGCCTAAAAAAAGGCGGCTCTCTACGGACCACTGAGGCGTACAGGATTGATTAGTGGCATAGTCTGTCCAGGCACAAGTATGTCACCTCTCCAGGGAGGGACGGACCGGTAAACAACCACAGAATTGGTCTTGGTGTCTGAGGAAAATCAGCAGTAAAAGGTTTTCACAGCAAACTAGAATACAGGCAGCAGGAGTTAGAAGAGAAGGTTTGTGTGACCTGGGCTCCAGCCTTTTCAGCAGAATGGCGTAAAAGCAAACTCTTATTCTGCTTTTGAGGCTTAAGGTGATGAGAGAGAGACTTGAGGCAAAGGTGAAAAAAACAAGAGCATGCCGGTGTTTTATAAACGATGGGTTGACCCGTTGGCTTGGCCCACTTACCAACTCGGTCAGCAGTTGGTCAGCAGTCGGTGCGCAGCAGCGGCTGTGACACACAGCTCAAGGAGGCAACTCTACTTGAATAACCTTAGCAAACAATTGCTGCAATTTGCCTCATGCTTGCACTCTTTCTCACTCATAACTCAAATCCAAGCCCACAGAAACATGCTAACCAAAGGCATCTCTATTTTATTGAGTGTGACTTGAGGACATCATTATCTCCAATGTCCATCACAAATAAGTGTATATAAATCTGCCAAGAAATCTGAAACAAAAGGTGCTCTTTATGTCCCAGAACTTGGCTGAAAATCATCTCTTATTTACAGTTTTGTTAAGAAATCCAGTGATAGTTGTTGGTATATCCATGGGTACATTCCAAACAGGTACAGCTTACAGCTAATTCGTCATACTTTTAAAAGGTTTAACATTTTTGTAGCCTACAGTTTACTAACTGGGGGAGGTCAGTGTTAGGAAGGCTGAGTTATCTTGATTTTGTCTGCGGTTGAACCCACAATGTCAGACATTGAAAACTCCTGGCTTAGTCAAACGTAGTTCTGCCCTGTTTGATAACCGAGCATCTGCTGCACCAACACTTAAAACCTGTTAAACCCCGAGCCTGTTTTTCAGGTTTCAGGCTCGAAAATGACATTCCCAGAACAAATGACCATATCTTCCCTTCTTAAAGGGTTAAATTAATAATCTTTTTTCTCAAAGTAATGATAAACCTGTGAGTTGGATGTAGAAAAGTCAGATTCAATATAGATGTTTTGTATTTTAAAGAAAATTCAGATTGAACATGGTAAAAAACTGTAAATTATAGTGTCCGTCCAAAAAATATGTTGTACTTATAGTGAAAACTAACCTTGGATGATGGGTTAGTAGACTAAAAGCTTTAGGAATCCAAAGTACAACATATAATAAGTACCCTGTATCAAGATTTATGCAAAACAAGTGATATTTGACCTTTTTAGACAGATTTAGCAAAAAAAAACCTCTTCTGGGGCCATTTGGGTGGATTTTCCATATCTCTGGCCCCCCTTGCTCGATTTTGACATGTGACATCTCTTTCTGACAGTCAGAGCCAATGGAATCGAGGGGAACTCCCACATAGTCCTTATTTGGTCATGTGTATGTGTGAGACTGCTGCATCGCCGAGACCGGAAGCAGCAGCTAGCTGTGGTGGCTACCATTAGCAGCTAGCATTTACTCTCCGATTTTTACATTAAAATGGAATTATGGATTATAAATTCAATCAGTTTTTTATACATGGACGTTAAGAACCTATGGATTAACAGATTCAGCCGCGTTTTTTCTCATTTTAATGCCATTGAACACGTACTTTGATCAGATTGACAGCTACTTGTGAGACGATCTCCCTAGAAGGTACGTGTTGTGATGACTGTATTTGCTTCCCCTGTCGCGAGTCCGGATCACTCAGTGATGATACTATATACCTACATAATCTATGGAGTCTCAGCTTTAATCGGATATATTGTATGTGCAGCTATGATAAGTAATAAGGGTACTTTTATCTTGAGTTCTGTGCCAATGTCCGTTAGCATTTTTCGCTCAGGGGTAATTTAGATGCTTCTTTTGAGACTTGTGTTTTGTTTTGGTAAACATGGTTTGTATCGGCAGTTAGCTGAGATTATTTCCATTAATCTGGTATAACACATTAATAGGTTCTTAAATATTAAGATCCCCTGAGACACAGTATCGTGAAAAAAAGACCCAGGGTCCCCGCTGGCGGGGACCTTCGGGCTTAACAGGTTAAACACATGTTGGAGAGTGGGCGGCTCCCTTTGGGCGAGCATCAACTTCCAAATAACTAGCTTCAACCAATCTAGCGGTTAGAAGAAATCCGGCACGATTATATGTCTTTTACACAGTAAGGAATCTAAATCAAGCCACACCGAGGAGGTCTAATGTCAAAGCCCAAAATATGTGACTGTTGACACACAGCCTGACACACAGGATGCAAACACAGACGCAGGAAGCTGAGTGAAGACAGTGTCATGATCTCCATCTTACCTATCCAAACATCATTGCCAAACCAGGAGAGATTCTTCTGGGAGCTGTCATAGTAACTAATCTTCTTGTAACTGCCTCCTAGATGAGGAAAAAAAGGAAAACATAGAGTGAAAGAATGAAAGGAGGACACAACATCACGGAAAGAAATAATTGATTGTGTAATTCCTTTCCTCCCCTGGATTGTGATCCCTATACAACTTGACATAACTACTCTATTCATAAACCACTATTTAGCTATTATTGTATTATTCCTGTGCTTTCACATTAATGGTTTGCGTGGGTACAGGAAATACACACAATGAACTGAAAAGAAATGAGGAATGAAAAGGTGCATAAAGAAGGACAAACAAAGAAGTACCAAGGGGAGAAGAAGGAGGAAAGAGAGGGAAAAAGGAGCTTATGTGGCAGTCTTGACCAGGAATACTGATGAGGTCCCCGAGTGGCTCAGGGATGCGAGTCAGGTCGTCTCATTGTGGATGTCAAATTACCTCGACACCACAACAGGAAATATGAGACAGAGTGTGAGGGGAAAGGGGCAGGATTATAAATCCTCATCCTTTAGGACGCCAAAGGGAACAGAGGTAGAAAATAATCCTCACCCTTATCCTGTGCGGGGAAACTCATTAACTCACTGGTGACAAATAGGATGCCAGTTCCAGAAGCGACTTAAAACTGAGGTTTGTGCCCAATTAGAGTTAAGCCTTGAGTCAACAAAATCCTGCATCAGACCATTCGCATGTTCAATTATAGGATATTGAGACCAATCTCACAGAAGCCCGCAACAATCCCTCACCGAAAAAAGAGGCTTTGCTCTGAAATGAGCTGAGAGCAACAATCGATACATAAGGGGAAACTCTCAGCTGTGATATTTTCTTTAAATTAATAAGTGACATTGTTTACTTCAAAACAACATCTGTGGGAGGACAGTATGGGAGTGTTTTACCTTGCAGTTGCTCGATAAGAGTCATCGCCATCCTGGATCCCTGGGCGTCAAACACCACTTGGCCCTGAGACACAGAAGAGAGGAAGGATTTTTTTTTGCTGCAAATGATGAATTACTTCCTTGAAGGAATAGCTTGACATTTTGATAAATACACTTACAGGCAAATTCACAAGAGTTGAATTGCAGCCGCTGATAGCTCCAAGAAAGGCAAACACTATCTGCTCTTATCTCAAGGTCCAAATCAAATATATTGTGGTAATGGTACTACTGCATAAACACTGCCATAAAATGAATAGAAATGTTCCCTTTTTAAGAGTGTGATTGCAATTATCCATGTGGCGAAGCATAAATGTTGCCTAAAAAAACCAGAAATGTTTAGACCGCAAGCTACAGGTCCTGACAGACGAGGTGCAGGCTTTGAATTATTATGCGCCAGAGATAAATCATATTTAGGATTTAATATCCCAGTCTGTCAGTGCTGCTGGTGTTTTTATCCGCACACCTTAGGACTGTAAAAGAAGATGGCATGATTTGAAGCAAAGAACAAAAGAAAGTCAGGGCGTGACACCCCTTATAAACGTGCTTCAGGTACCACCAACTCAAGTGTTTTCAGTGATACTGCAATATGTGCTGATATTTGTGAATGTTTGTTTTTCCAATAATGCTCATTTGCATAGAATGGGGCCAATCTTGCGCCAAATGTATGAATTAGCTTATTTATATACGTGAAAAACATGCATTTTGCTTGGCGGCACAGTCAGGGGTACGTTTCACTTTGCTTCGAGGATTATACGATTTCCTTTCGTCCTTTTTATTCACATTTAGATTCCAAGAAAGGCCACACAAATTCACTTCTGAATTGCTCAAGGACTGGAAACACTTGCTTTGGTTGGTAACAGCAAAATATATGGTAATAAATATAATCTTTTTGTAAAATGGGATATTCTGACCAACATTTTTGATGTGTTTTTATCTCCTAATATATACGTTTATATAACCTGGATAGAGAGTTTGCTTGTTTTCAACCTGTTTGATCATCTGACAGTGTATCCACTTCATTCACACACACCTCACTGTAGCACTTTTGCAGTGTTCCCATTTGTAATCCTTAACAGAAATGATGGATAAAAATAAGTGGTAAATTGTCTTTAACATATTTGTTCTCTTTAGAGAATGTGGAATCTAATGCAACACACTACAACAGCTCAGCCAAATCTTAACAACGAGAGGTGTCAATTTAACTATATGTCTTTTATTGAGGTTGTAATATAGTTTGCAGTGGTGATGAACTGGACTGCATTATATTGACAGGTGCATATCATTTTTGACATGCTCTATTTAACAAAACATGAGGGGGAAAGATGACCAGAAACAGTTTTCAGTATAATGCAGTGCACTGCAATACAACTGAGAATTAAGATTTAAGATATAAACAGATAGTCCAAATTACAAAAACTGACCATCAGAAGCTTATAAGCAGAATATGAGTAAGAGCTGCTGCTCTGGATTGCAGTAGATGTCACAGTCTTGCTAATGAGGTGTACAGGGAATGCATGTGAACAGTTATTAGTACATTAATTACACTATATTCAACTATTTCCATCCTGAAATAGTGTACACTCTGGTCCTTTTATCCTACCACAAGGACTATTTCTAAACATTGCATTTTGATTTATAATAAATAACTTAACAGGAGCAAAAAAACATTATTTGTTTATTATCTATAATTCTTTTTTTATCATCCTTCTAACTTACCGAAACACCTTCGAAGGAGCTGGTGTTGAGGGCCCTGTAGATCTCGGAGGTGATGTCATGGTTGTTGTAGTTGAAATCCTCCAGTCGTCGACCCTTGGCCTTCAGGGGGGCCACGGTCTTATTGAGGGCGAGGGCCAGAGCCCACACTGCATCGTAGGCGAGAGGAGCCTCCTGAAACCCCCCGGTGTCCTCTGGGTTCTTACCACCGAGACGAGACATCAGGGCGGCGATAAACTCCTGCGACGTCTGGAAGAGACATGACAGGAAGAATATCACAGATAACTCTTTCCTAAGAAATGCAATGCTTCAAACAAGACAATAAAGTGTCTGTGAGGCCTAATCAATGGCAAAGAAGAGGAGAATGTAAAAGGGAATGAGTTGTGGATGATCTGGAGGATTTATGGGGTAACGCCTACATGAATCCACACTTTCCCGATTAAAGTGGTTTATTTTGTTCAAGAAATCGTCTTAAAACCTCAGGGTTTCCACCATTTTTTTTGCAACCGCGGCAACCCGCCAGGCCTAAGTCGACCCCCCACTAGGCCTAAGCATCTTACTACAACGTATATTGAAGATGTTAAAGTTTGTGTTGAACACTAGCAAGTGCGGTTATGAGAAAGAGAAAGAAAGACAAACACAGAGAGAGAATAAAATACAGTGAGAAAGGAGTGTGTGCGTGTGTGTGTGTGTGTGTGTGTGTGAGTGTGTGAGTGTGTGTGTGTGTGTGTGTGTGTGTGTGTGTGTGTGTGTGTGTGTGGTGTGTGTGTGTGTGTGTGTGTGTGTGTGTGTGTGTGTGTGTGTGTGTGTGTGTGTGTGTGTGTGTGTGTGTGTGTGTGTGTGTGTGTGTGTGTGTGTGTGTGTGTGGGTGTGTGTGTGTGGTGTGTGTGATGGCGAGCTGGTAATTATAATATCATCAAACTGCCAATCTGCTATCACCTGCAAATCATCTCCTTTCAGCCCACGGTATCATGCTGAGTGTTAGTGCAGCGGTTTGGTTGAGGGAGAGAATGAGTGAGGGAGAGTGTTTGTTTGTGTGTGTGTGTGTGTGTGTGTGTGTGTGTGTGTGTGTGTGTGTGTGTGTGTGTGTGTGTGTGTGTGTGTGTGTGTGTGTGTGTGTGTGTGTGTGTGTGTGTGTTGTGTGTGTGTGTGTGTGTGTGTGTGTGTGTGTGTGTGTGTGTGTGTGTGTGTGTGTGTGTGTGCAATGAGTATGAAGTCAGTGGTAGCAAATCTGTGCAGTGTGTGTACGTTTTATTTGACTGTGATTAAATGCTACTAATGCTCAAGACCACCTGCTGACTGTGAAGGAGCTGGTTAGTTCCGAAGCTAACAATTCCAAACACCTCCAAAGTTTTTGCAGCAGTTTAGTTTTGTTATTTAAATGTAAGCATAACACCCCAACATTTTTGGTGGATTTGAGAATAAAGACATTCAGTCATTGTATTTATTTCGTAAATTTAAGCATTTTTTTGTAATTAGTACCATTGAGAGTTCTCTCCCGCTAAAAGCAGGGTTACATGACGGGAGATTACAGCTACAAATCATCCAGACGTCCCTGTGGAATTTCTGAGGCCAATTATGGCCCACACAGCCCCAATTCACGTATGTCAAATTCATCTCATTGAAATTCCACCTTGGCATTTGGCATTTAAATCTGCCACTACCTACTGAAAACTAGCTGACAATGTGCTATTGCAAAACCCACAGTACTGGAACACCGGCTCCACCTGAATGCTCTATCTAAAAGAAAAATGCCAATTTCAAACCTGGAAATTGAATTTGAATAGATTGACTATGAGTTCAGGCTGTAATTCTTATCACCCATCGAGCAGCACGTCAACAGCAGAATCAGCAGGTAGCGGCAGGTGCTGTATGAATATAAACAACAGCTGCTGATGGAGTGCTAGAGAGAAAAAGGAGGGGTGTTGGGAGAGATGGGGGGGGGGTGTTGGTGGGAAAGGTGGGAATGATAAGGAGAACTGAAAGGAAAGGTGGGTAAACAAGAAGAATAAAAAGATGATCCACCGTAGACCAGCAGAGTCAGAGAAGGTCGAACAATGGGGGAGACAGAGAGACGCAGAGACAGTTTAAGAGGATTAGAGGAGGCGAACAGAGAAGAGCGACGGGCAAAAGAGAAGCAAAGGGCGACAAATATAAAGAAAGATGTTCAGAAGGAGTGTGACAACATTAAACATCTATTTTCTACCTCTTATGAAACATAACATTAATTCCTGTCACGCGCAGTTCACTGTAGCTAGGGAGAAAAATAAATATCTCATAGGAATTGATCCTTTTATATGAATGGCCGAACACTTTTGTTAGGGATACGGATAAGAAGAACTGAATAGTTAGAAAGAGAACTGAGTTAATTATAATGAACAGATAAAAAGAGCTCAAAGACAATGAACAGAAAATCCAATGAGGAAGACATCACAGTGTCTGACTGACTGACAAGCGACCTCTGGAAAACTGAGAGAAGTGGACAAATATATTATTTTACACCATTTTAGAGCTTATTATTTATTTGTATTTGGTTTTGCCTTTATTCTCAATATAAAACAAGACTATGAGTGTTCGTTAGCAGCTCTTTGAGACTTGACTTGGTGCAGCAGAGCTTAAACTAAATATCAGCACGCAAACATGCTAATTATAAACATGTTTTTCTGGTGACATTTGCAAATACTTTTTACTTAGAGGTACACAATTAGCACTTTATCTGCACTTAATCCCTGTTTTTTCTTTACACCTTTTGGTGATAATTAGCGTGAAGCTAGTGAAGTGTTTCTTTTCTCAGGATGGTACCCCATTAGAATATGTAAATGGATTATTAAACGTTGTTTTCCTCACCTGTCACTGTTGCAGGTCACTGAACATTTCTACCAGCCACTTCTGAGATCTATGTATGAGTCAGTGGAAGATATATGGTATATATGTAACATTAATCCGTGATTAATTTAGGATGACCCAAATGTTTACCCGCCACAGCCACATTTACCCTGCATCTGGCAGGTGCTATTTTTATTCCCCGTTAGTGGTGTTGCGCTTCAAGAGGATTTAAGGATGTTCTGGCAATATTTACTTCCATAATTGTACTTCTTATATTTATGTTGGTTTCTGATAGCTTTCTTTAACGATTGTTCCTTAGGTTGTCTGATATGTTGTATTTGCATTTTCATGTATTTATACCTTGGGAAATACTATTAAGAACTTCATTTCCCATGTGTACAGGTGTGCTCTATTTGATGTCGGTATAATCTCGTAAAAAAATGGCATTGTACTTAACAACCTTATGTATTTGTGACCCGCTCTATCGAAATCAGTCGGAAGTCGCAACGGCTCATTTCAAAATAAACGTGGATTTATGTAAAAAACAATTTTTTCGGGGTTCGGGTGTTTTGTTTGATTTTAAAGAAACAAAGTCTTGGCTTTCAGAATATGAAACTTTTATTTCCAAAATCACACAATAAATACATTTTTGAAGCTTGTAAAGGGAAGATGACAGGCACCTCTCACTCGCAATCTGCTCTTCCGCAGCGCCGCCCCCCCCCCCTCCGGCTGACATTATGAATGTAAGCGTAGAGTAATCATAGATAACACGGCAGGGTCCGTTACAGTTTGTTTTCATCTGATTTAAATTAAACAAAGTCTTGGCTTTCAGAATATTAAACTTGTTTCGGCAAATTCAGATGATAAATACAACTTTGAAGCTTCGGCATAATTACAAGCGGATAACGGAGTAACTTGACATCACTGCAGGCACAACAACAGCCGGTGTTTCTCGTGAGTGGTTTCCCCGGGAAACAAACACAATACACACAAACGCAAAATTACACAAACACACACACACACGTATAGACACACACTCGCGAGCTTCCCCTCCAAACAAAAATATCTTCCCTCCGTAGTATTTTGATCATTTGCTCCACTAATAATCAATCAGATCGATGGATTCCAGAGAAGAGGAAACTTTGAAGGCCTTTTTCTCAAAATGATGACTCGGTGACAGTCATTATATAATGTGACATATTTCGCTAAATATTTGGAGAACAACAACAATCCTGATATCATTAGAAAGCTAGGAATATCCTCTTTCCAACAGTGTATACAGCTCAAAATGTGTCTTCGGGTCAATGCGACTGATTTCGATGGAGCAGGTCACATTTGGCATTGTGATGGAGATCATTATCAATTAGTTTACTCAATTTCAAAAATACAATATATTATTGTCAATTACAGGAATGAATAAATATCTCTAGTAAAAATAGAATAGTAGAGGGTGAGATGAAAGTGTTTTGTGAGTTCCCACCATGTTGGAGACGCCGCGGACCGTCTCAGGATTCAGCATGACGATCTCGGTGGTCACGTGACCCTCCACGGCCTCCGTCATGTTCTCCACAGTACAGTCGATCGCTGGGTCTTTGATCTTGAACCAATTGTCTGCGTACCAGCCTATCAAGAACCACACAACCTTCTTCCCATAGAGCTTCTCCTTGAACACCTGCAGCAGCAGGGAGAGAGGGAGCCAGATACGAAGGGTGGATGAAAGGGTGGAAATTATAAATAAGATAATTATTCCCAGAGATGTGTTGAGGGACAAAACAAGGAAATACAGTCAGACACTCAAACAGCTCATTACAGTGCTCACTTTCAGCTAATAGCCCGCCAGGTTCAGTCTATTGGGATCAATTGAGCAGGAATTCAAAAAAATATACTAACCTCACAGAACACCTTCCTGGCTTCGGTCTCATAAAAGAGCCCCACAATGATCCTTGCATCTTGGCGCTGCGTCAAAACATCAAAACAAAACATTGCTTAGTTACACTAGCAGAATATAACTTCACTACAGCACAGCTTGAAGTGGAAGCGCAGCACGCCAAAGTGCCTGCTGCTTCTCAGGACTGCACGTACTGCTGTTCAGGAGTTGCTAATTAGCATGGTGCATTCATTTCCTCTATCAAATCGCCTCTATGCTAATGGTATCATGTGCAGCTGTGAGCCGGAGGAGGAAGGAGAGGGGGAGAAACGACCAGCAGCTGAGGTGAATTTGTAATCAAAGCACCTTGAGGTTTTTGACAGCGACAGCCGGGTCGGTGAGGAAACTCTGACGAACGCTGATCTCGATGCCTGCCTCCTTCGTCCTTTGCTCCAGATCGTCCAGAGTCTGCCAGATGAAAGGGAAGGACAGAGGGAGACAGACAGGGAGAGGGGGAGGTTAGAAAGGCAGCTGAACCGAGAGAGGTGCCGGGCTGAGATCATACCCAAAAAAGAAAAGAAAAAAGAAACCAAGTCCGAAGAGATCAAAAATAAAAATTCTGAAGTGTATATGAGAAATGTCAAGAGATGGAAGGAGGGTGTGTATGATAAACAAGAGAGGCAGCATTGGAGGGAATAGATTTGAACACAAGGTGAAAGCAGAAAAGAAGAATGTGAGAAGAAGGAGGAAAGAATGTGAGAGGAGGATAATTAACCTCCATTACAGGAACCAACCCAAGTGTCATGGTATCGACCACCGTGCCTGGGAGAGATGTATTGCTTGATCAATATTTCTCACAGCCAATACTCCGACAAATTACTTCAAAAATCCTCCCTCAATCGCCTGGAGAGATTGAAGGAATATCGCATAGCCTGAGAACACAACGGCTCTCATAAACAAACATAGAGAAGCTGGCAGGCAATAAGGCAACCTGACACTTTCGCAAAAATGATGGAGCCAAAGAAAGTGATACAAAAGTGAGGTGTAGGTATGAAGAGGTAAAGTTGCAGTAGAGTAGAATGTGATGGAAGCTTCTGAAGCAATGGAGACGAAACTCAGAGAGACACGAGGAGAGCTGGAACTTGATGGCAAACACTGATGGTTTATTTAGAGTTGCGGCCGGAGAATTGACAAGACATGTCGTGCGCCACGAGGTGACACAGCGGTTACCAAACCAATTCTGAAGAGCTCTTCTGTAGCTCGAGGTTTTAACTTGTTCGCAGCGTAATAATCAACATTCCTCATCAGTGAGACTAAAGCAATAGAGAGGCGAAGTCCCTGTTCCGGTGGACCTCCATGGGACCTTATTTCGGAAAAAGTATGTATTGAAGTCAATGGCGAGAGCAGGATTATCTTTCGATCCCGTTTGAATTGTGCCACGAATGACACATATGATGTTTGCCAATTTAAAAGATAATTTTGCAAGTCAATTTTTTTTTAATGTGTCGTAAAACTGTGAAGTAACACTTTGTTTGTGTGAAACCGCTCAATGAACTACATCTCCCATCTCGCACCACACACCAAGACGGCTGTCACCACGTTGGCACATTTTACTTCTTTCTTTCAGAATGAGGCGAAAAGTATTAAAAGAGGTGAAAATCACTAAAAGTCTGGGCATGTTGAGAGCTGTACACACACAAGTGGAGTTAGTCGGTTCCGTAAGAGCCAGCATGCGGGACCGGGATTCTGGGATTTGTAGTCTTTCTAGTTGCGTATTTTTCATAGTCTTATATTTCAACAGTTTTACGACAAACTGTGACTTTTTTTACATGGAAATAATTTTTTAAGATTGACAAACTTCATATGTGTAATTCGTGGCACAATTCAAACGGGATCGAAAGATAATCTTTCTCTCTCCATTGACTTCAATACATAATTTTTCAGAAATAAGGTCCCATGGGTCGGAAGTAGATGGGCGGGACTTCGCCTCTCTATATGGACCCTTAGTCTAACTAGAGCTGTCGTCCATAGAAAATAATGTGCGCCAGGAAACCTACCTTCCTGAACAATAAACTACCTCCTGGCAGCTTGTGCTCTGTCATAGACTAGCAACAACAATGCGCACAAGCTGCCCCTCCTAAAGAGAGATAGCAGCAATACCCAAGGACGTAGAATGATGCCATGGGAAAGGAGACAGTGAGAGGAGAAAATGATGAACTGTGTCAAAGGTTTAAATACCTGAGCAAATTATTCCCCAACATAGAATATAAAAGGTACTGACTGAGGTGAAGACTTCGGTGGTCTGCTGGATGGTGGCAATGCGGGTCCACTTCCACTTCTGGAAAAGCCGCACCCTGGTGGGGTTGTGAAGGGTGGCCGACGGGTGCGTGCGGAAGAAGGTGGGGAAGCGCTGGCGGTTGGACAGGGCCGGCGAGCTGGAACCATAGGACAGCTGGAAACAGACAGGAATAGAGTAAGAAGCAAACAGTGACTCAGGCAGGAGGAATATAAAAGTCTAGGGGGGAAAAATACTTCTGAAGGGTCATTCTAGGCATCGGTACTAAACAGACTTCAATCCAAATGTATTCAAATCTGGACGTCCTTGTTCCTCGCCTGTACACAGTGTTCTTTGAAGGCGAATGGTTCAAACAGAAAACAACACAGAGGAAAGCCAGCATAGAGACAGAGAATCAGGGAGACAATCCCCACTCCCATTTTTCATTTTCATCCCCAACCGCTCCATCCTTTCAGCTCCCCTCCGGCTTATCAGGTATGGTGATAAACACTGTAATTTCAATAAGAAATAAGACACTTCCTGCAGGGTTTTGCATGCCTACATTGCCATGAAATTGTGATGACACATTCTGCTATTACAAACAGAACAAATAAAAGAAGGATATAATTATTGTTGTTGCAAACAGTAGCACGATTGATTATCTGTTTCTTTCATTTGGACCCATATCCTTTTAATTCCCACAAGACACATACAGCTAAGATGTGTGTGGGATGAGGGATGATGAAAATGAAGACACAAACAGGGAAAAGGCTTGTTCTTCAAACAATTCGTTTCATAGTGACAACTGGAAATGAAATCCTCATCCTTTAAAACAGAACCCTGGAGTTTAGGGAGCCATTACAGAGAGTAGAGCCTCCTCTCCATGTGTCATCTCAGCCCCATTACCCACAAAGCCCTGGGATGTTCACCAATGGGAGCGAGAGGGGGCTTGACGTTAGATGACAAATGTCATGTCAAAGGTGGACCACAATTATTAATTCCTGTGGGAAGAGGTAGACGGAGGCATCGATACAATGGGAGGTAAAATATAGAGGAAGTGACAGCTGACCTGGGCACAGCATCAAACGGTCTTCTTTGTCTGACATATGCTCAGTAATAAATATGAAAGGGGCTTATAACATACTTGAGAATACGCAGGGAGGTTAATTTTGAAGGTTATTTTTTATATTTTAGTTACACAAAACGATCAAAACCAGCAATGAATTGATGCTATTAACAAGTATTTCCCGAGTAGAAAAAAGCTTCATCGGTTATTTCCCCGTGCTATAGTTTTGCATAGATAATAAGTCAGCAAGGGAAAACTAACACTTTGAAGATGTAATGGATGCACCGTAGAAAAGTGTCTTTTGACTGGTTTCACATGAAGCACGTACAGAATGTCCAAAGCAGTGTCTGTGTGTGAGACACAGACACTGCTTTGGACATTCTGTTGGGTTGTTCATTCAGTTTGTGGAGGAAGCACAGTTGGCTGTGAGCCAGCACGTAAATAAGGGTAATTATAAAAGGTATTTTCCACCAAGTTTCTGTAATATGGGTAGGTTAATTTCTACACCGTTTTAATTTTGTCTTAATGAACATTATTCAATTTAATATTGAACTCATGTCAGAAGACTTTCATTGCCATTTCTACACTGTAGCTTTGTGCATAAGACAATAAAACCTTTGAATCTTGAATCTACAGACTGCAGTAATCTAAGTAAGGGACCGATTTGCAGAGGAATTTCCAGCTGATGCTAGCAAAATGAATGGCAAAAGGCAGATCAAGTTTAATAAAAAGAAATAAATATTGAGATTTTGACCCATTTCTGTGCACACCTTGCGTGAACAAAATAAATAGGTGACTGGCCTATTTTTATGCCTGTAGAGCAGATATGGGTGGCGCATTAGCACCACTTACGCGCTGCTCTCACGCATGGTGTAGCCAGCTTCATTGATTATAGTGGAAGCGTAGTGTTGCAGCAGCCAATTTGCAAATGGTCAGCATATGTTATGTGTTTCCTGCAGGCTGCCTGTGAGAGAGGATATGTCAGGGAAGGTGAGACCAGGAAGGAAGGAAGGAAGGAAGACTGGGAAGAACATGAGATGATCCGGCAAATGACTGGGCAAGAAGGAGGATAATGAGGTTATACAGTATGGAAGAGCTGACTGGCGGGATTTCGTAGAGGGCAGGTGGGCAATGAGAGGAATCTAACATGAAAGGGCGGTAATGGCAAAAAACACAGAAACAGGGAGAACATTGTCCAAAAACAAAAGTATCCGTGTGACAGCTGCATTGTTGTCTAAAAACACATTATCAATGGGACACACCACTGCACTGGGTGACGTGTTCACAGCTATTGTAGTTTATTTTGAGTCTAACACACACACACACACACACACACACACACAACACACACACACACACACACACACACACACACACACAACACACACACACACACACACACACACACACACCACACACACACACACACACACACACACACACACACACACACACACACACACACACACACACACACACACACACACACACACACACACACACACACACACACACACACACACACACACACACAACACACACACAATTCTTTTGCTGTAAATAATCTTTAGCACCATAGATGGGTTTATTCAGAGCATGTAGATGGAACTTTGCTTGTTATTTTACTGCCATTATAACAGCTCTGTGAGGCTGCACATAGCATGTTAAAATGATAAGAATTACAATAGCTATAGTTTAGCAATATACTATAATCAGCAGAAAGGCTGTACACGATTTGGAGCCAATTCATACATGTCAATCAATAGAGAACCGCAGTGACGCGTCCTAAAACCCGGAAGTAAGTTAGCATTTTTACCACGTCCGGTTCCTTCGATAAAAAGCAATGCAATTTCTCCATAGGATTTTGGAAAATAGCTCCAAATAAGGTCTGTGTTTGACACAAATTGAAGAGACAGATCACGTTTTGTTCTACGACATTAAATACATCAGCAGTGACCCCGCTGGTGATTTTTGAAGAGTTTACGTGTCTGAAAAACGATGGTTGTTAATAACATTTGGCTGAATAGGACTACAGAAGTTGTCGAGGCCGTTGTATGTCATTACACCGAACACGTAAAACACTCCCGCTAAGTTTGTTTGCCCTGTTCTGCTTGAAAGCAAGTACCTGCCTCCTGCAAACTGTTCAAACAAACGCTTCAACTTGTGCCATTTACAATCTGTATGTTTGAATATGGATCTTAAGTTGGCGTGACGTTGAAGCAACAACCCTGCTGTAGTTCCTTTATAGCATAACGTTAGCATTTTTGCTTCTTGCGACTAGATTTATGCTTCAAAATTATAAAAGTAGGATAGACATGTGGATATTATCCGGCTGAACAAAACGTGATCCGTCTCTTAAATGTGTGTCAACCACAGACCTTATTTCGAGCTATTTTCCAAAATCCTATGGAGAAATTGCATTGCGTTTTTGACAAAGGAACCGGAAGGAGTTTACATCCGGGTTTTAGGACGCATTTCCCCCGTGTTAACACTCAAATAAAACAGACACAAAAACGGTGGCAAAAACATAACGGAGCAAAAGCTTCTGCAGCAGAAATAGACGGATGTTAGCAGCACTCTGCAACTGAAAAAGTTCCGCATTGAAGCTTCGCAAAAAACGACAAACAATATCTCTTGATTCTCAGCGTTCTCCAGCAGCCTAGTAGTACATCAATGCATGTCTTTGGCTTACATTGCTTTTATAAAAGGAGATGGGGGATCAAATGAACAGTTTCCCATGAGAAGCCGATTGAGAGCCACTTCTTGATCAGCGTCCAGAAACGGATGTTGCTTTTGCCTCCCTGATGAGGCTGTTTGACATGCAAGGAAGCTTCTGCAGGCAGGCAGCGTACCAAAAATAATTGAGTGTGGCGGTTAGGAGGTTGTGCCAGTGGTGGCGTGTAGTAAAGAGAGACGGATCCCTTTGTGTGTGGGGAGAATCAACTGCTCGAGTTGACGGAACGAGGCGGAAATTAAGAGTGGGAGAGAAAGACGGCAGACATGGAAGGAAGGAAGGAAAGAAGGAAAAATGATCTGTTATAATAGAGAAGGCCAGCTCCAGGCAGCGACCGGAAGACAGGGAAAAGAAGGAGGCAAAATGTGGAAAAGAGTTTTTAATGACGAGGAAAGAAAGGGTGACAACGAGAGAGAGAGAACAGAAACCAGAAAGAGGGGCAGATGCCAACCACTACAACTGATTGTTCCCGATGACTAATCTCTAGATGAAACTTCAATTATAGGACAAAGCTAATAAGCAGAGCACTGTGAGTGACAGAGAGGCAGATCAAGAGAAGACAGAGAATGAGATCAACAAAATAAAATAACTGGCGTAAAGGCATAAAAAGCAGCAGTGTTTGAAAAAATGACGGCAGCAGAAGACATCTCTTGCTGATCTGGGATGTGTTTGTATTTATTATAAATGAATTATTATGCAGTATGTGTTGTCCTGAATGTGGTGCTGCTGTCAGTGCAGTATTGTGGAACTGCCATGTAAAGTGTCATCGCTGATTGATTTAAAGTGCAGTGTGAAATACTTCAAAATCAATAAACAACTACAGCATTGATTTGGGGAACCTAATGATCATATGTACAAGGGATCATGATTGAGATGCATGTCTGCTCTCAACCATCTTTTAAATACATTGTATGTTGCACAAGAAAGACTACTTTTAAACAGAAGGACAAGCCAACATAGTTAAAGATTTAGATGTCACGTTTTGTTTGTCATTAGTTGAAATCCTTCTCTAGAAGACTTTAGTCAAGGACAGCACAGAGACAAGGACATGGGATGAGAAGCAACGTTGTCTTCTTAGCTGTTTGTTAGTAATCTCGCTCTTGATCCCTGCGGAGGCTCAGTGCCGTTATTTAAGTTGCTTTGGACCAAGTCCAAATGTGTGCATTCATACAGAGCTACCATGCAGGATGTTGTCATGTTTATGTGTTCAGGTTTTGACATATCACTCTTTTTCAACCTCAAACTAAATACAGTGGAGGTGAAGCAACCGACCTTGCTGCGAAAGCTTGTCAATTTTCTGCTAAAGAAATAGTCCCTATGAAAACTGTTGACAGTGTGCTCTGTGGATTTTCCAGAGCAACAGGGATACTGGAAAAAGATGTTGCGGCAGATTTTTTTTAAATGTCATTTCTCAATGCTGTAAATCCCACAAACAAAATCCCATTCACAGGTATTGTTGTCGGTGCAGCGGCTGACATCTCTCGGGGATATCTCAGAAACTGAAACCACTAAACCAAAACTATCTACATGATTGGATCCCACCAGAGGTAATTGAGAAAATGGGTCTTCTTCCTTTGCAGTCAAAGTGAGCAGACGCTTTAAACTGATGCATTTTTTGGCAGTGGTTTAAAGCGGTGCAGATGGGTTAAAAACGTTTTTTTCCATACTTGGCAATGAAGCCCCCCGCCCCAACATAGCCTATATTTAGCTGAAACGTTGACTTTAATTAAGTGTAGTATATGAACAGATGTCACATAACGGTATTATGTTAGTTGAAAGTAATAATATTAAGTTGAATGTTGTATTTAAACTTTGCCAGTTATGTGAAATCTGTTGACATAATACATTTAATTAAAGTCAACGTTTCAGTTTTTTCAGTTGAGGTGCCACTAAAAGTCTGCCGAATACGCTAATGGGAATTCCTGTTTGCAATGTACTCATGTGTACACGGACAACTATCACTGGAGTACTTTAATAGTGGGGAAACTACTATTTAAAAAATGTTCTGGAGTTATGAGGACCATCTGCTTTCTGTGATATTTAATTGGATTAAAAGATATTTATTTGTGATGGATAACATTATATATTTAAATGATAGAGTGGTGCAGTGACGAGACCTAAAACCCGGAAGTGAGTTAGCATTTTACCACTCAAAATAAGGTCTGTGTTTGACACAAATTTAAGAGACGGATCACGTTTTGTTCTACGACATTAAATACATCAGCAGTGACCCCACTGGTGATTTCTGAAGAGTTTACGTGTCTGAAAAACGATGGTTGTTACCAAGTGGCTGTTAGGACTACAGAAGTTGTCGAGGACGTTGTACGTCATTACACCGAACAGTAAACACTCCCGCTAAGTTTGTTTGCCCTGTTCTGCTTGAAAGCAAGTACCTGCGCTCTTGCAAACTGTGAACATTTTGAAACTGTATTTTTGAATATCGATCTCAAGTTGGCGTGACGTTTAAGTCGTGCGACCCTGCTGTACTCGGCTGTAGTTCGTTTATAGCATAACGTTAGCATTTTACTTCTGGTTTTATGATTAGAAAATTATAAAAGTAGGGTAGACATGTGGAGATTATCCGGCTGAACAAAACGTGCATTTATCAAACAGGTTCGTTTTCCACAGACCTTATTCCAGCTATTTTCCAAAATCCTATGGAGAAATCCCATTGCTTTTTGTCGAGGGAACCCGAGCACAGCTTACTTCCGGGTAAATACGTCAACCCTGCACTACTCTATATGAGCTGAATCTTAAAATATGTGTTGCCATGAGAAGGAACACACATTTTGGAGCGGCAGGTCACGTCTCTCCGAAAGCCCCCCACCTTCACAAATTGAACATCTCAGGGGATGGCGAAAATGTGCAGAAAGTGTGCCCTTAGGTACAAACAGTGAAGGACACTCACCACTATGAGGTTCCACATGCGAGCAGCCTCGGCCACCAGCGTGGAGACGCCGCTGCAGCCGGGCATCAGCACAATCTTGATGGGCTCGGTGTACAGAAGGTCATACAGCAACTTGGTGGCTTCTCCTGGGTCACACTGGAAGGACAAAGTGACAAGAGTGTTAAATGGACGGGCGGATGAACAGATGGGATGGGCGGATCGATAAAAAAGGATGAGAAATTACTGGAGGTGACCGAAAGAGGGATAGAGAAAGGGGGGGGGGGGTCAGAGCGAGGGAAATGGGTCAGATAAGGGTTAGAGAAACAGATGGAATGAGAGCAGAGGGTTTGGAGCAAATGAGGAATGGATTGTGGGGGGTGGGGGCTGTTAACAGAAAGAAGAAAATAGGGGAGAGTAGATAAAGGAAAGGGAAATGTAGCAGGAAGCGACTAAAAGGCCAATGTGATAGGAAAAGACAGATACAAAGGCAAAACAAATTAAGGAGTAAGGGAAATTAAAATAAAACAGACAAGGTTGAGATCAAGCAAAGGCAAATGGCACCAAAAAAAAGCAGAGAGCAGCAAACACACATATGCAAATGTGAAGGGAAAAGATAAGCTGAAGGAAGCAATGAAAAAAGAGTTCACGAAAGTCTACGTAGCCAATGTGTATCATGAAAACACAACAGGCTGCTCCATGATCAAAACAGAAGAGGCAGGCTGGAGCCAGACAGAAGAGAGCCGAGGAGCACCACAGCAGCACATCACAAGTCATTACAAGCCTCCAATAAAGTCATTTACAGCGCGTCGAGGTGGCGAGAGTGCGGCTGGAATGATCCATCACAGCTCTGCCGGCCAGATTACCGACAGGCCGTCACCGCTGCACCGCTCATCAGAGTCACTGATAAACTGGCCTGACACATCTAATGATTCACCATGGAAAAGAAGATGTGGCTCGCAAACACAAACACGCACATGGTAAAAAAAATACACTCCAGATGAGTGTCACAAACGATCGGACCGCGGCCGATGATGGCGGCGACCAATATGGCTCCTAATCGGGGTGTTTGTCTGAGCGTCTGAATGGTCTCTGTGAGGCCGCCCTCTGCTCTTTGTGAAGAGGTAATCACCACCAGGGAATGTGGGGAATAGCTGCCCTTCTTATTGATTGATGTGTTTTCCATTCATTCTAGATTGGGTTGAATTATAGGGGTGTCATGTCATCGCAGAGAAAAGTGAGGATGTTGTCATGCACATAGATAATTCAATCTGAACCCAATTAAAGGAGAGCTCTGACTGCTGACTTTCTACCCTTACAGTCTCCATACGGTTTTCTTTATTGGTCCGAATCCAACTGGGAAATTCGGCTCAACGTACTTTTATTTATAAGACCACATAAAGACCTTTAGGACATGTTTGTGTTAACTGTCCATGTCATCAGCGCGATCACTGTATACTATAGAAAAGGTCACAGCATTTGTAACAGCTCCTGCATAGGCGCAGATTCAGTGGGAGCGAGGCCCCCCCCCCCCCCCCACACAGGGAGATAATACTGTGAGGGGTCCATAGCAGGAGAAAAGGGCATCGCAGAGTCTTAACTGTGAAGGAAACCTGCTTCCGTTCCTTTATTAATCTTTGACACTAAAGATTGGTGGATTTCTCCCAGCAGAGTTATATCAAAGTGTGGAGTTTAGCAACACCTTCTGCTGCCGTCTGCCCTAATTAATAACTTTTGAAAACAAGGACTTTGCAAACCATCCACCAATGCGCCTTTATAAATAATTCTTTGCCATCTTTTACATTTCCTGAAAGGATATTTTGAAGCTTGCAGTTATTTGTGGGTACGTGTTATTTGATGACACATAATTGCACATTGATTAGAGCCAGATTCGGTGTAAAGGGGGGTTGAGGCCGGTAAAAATGTCCTTAAATGTCATTAAGTATTATAACCTAAAGCACCTACTAGCTGACACCAGAGCCAGTATCATTGTCTTAAAAAAGCAGGGGATTAAGCATTGCTATTGAATAGTAAGACTCACGATGGATGATTTCACAAAAAGATCAAAACCGAGCAGCAGAACCAGAGATATCTTTCATTAGAAGCATTCTTCTTTCTTGTCAAAACCTGGTGCCTACATTACCCACAATTCAACTCATCTAGTGACAGTTCAATTAGAGTTGCTGTGTTATGTTAGCATAGTAGCAGCTAATATAGCCTCAAGCTTCAAGCAAAGATGAGGAGGGTGCAGCTCTTCACACCTTTAGATTTCAATTTGTAATATCAGTGGGGTTCCCTGAAAAGGACATTTCAAAGAAAAGTGGACACACTTGAACGTTTTAGAAAAGAGCTTGAAGAACACCTCGAGTAAAAAAGATGCTATGTCACAGTTATGTATGTTCAAAGTGAAGAATGAATCTCAACTCTTTGATGGCAGGTAATGGAGAGAGATTTGGTTAGTTGGACAGAAAAATGACAAATAATTAAATGAGTAGAAGAATTTTCTGTGAATGTTTTTACACCTTTTTAAAGATTTATTTTGTTATATGACAAAACGAACAACTTTTAACGTTAACAAGAAATGTGTCATATGTAGAACTTAATGATCGGTAGTACTGTCAAAAGTTACATGAATGTGGTCAATAACAATATGTATCATTAGATAAGGGTCTCAAAAATACTCAAGTGCCCGAAATGTTGAGCTAGATCATTTGTTTTAACATAACGCCAACCACATATTTGTCTAAACAATTACGTACATGAATTTCCTTATTTGACGACATCAAATTATCTTAATATCGTCCTAAGGGGTTTCGGAGTGCATGCCTGTAAAATACTAATTCAGTGTGTCGCCATGTGGGGCCGAGGGACTGCAGGTTCTCCTTCCGGCAATCAATCACTAGAGCAGCTGATTTCACAGATCCCTTCCTCCTCTGGGTAAAATCAGCCTGTTCCTAATAAAAACAAATTGCTGTGTTAACTAATCATGTGATGCATACAGCTTCTTTTTTTCATTTGAAATACTGTCTTTCCCGAAGGTTGTTTAAGGATGAGGTTGTGTTCACTGACCCTGCGGCTGAGCGCTGGCTGCATGCTGAGAAGAAGCTTGTTAGCCTCGTTTTGTTTTTTTCAAACTATACCCTGATGAAGTGTAATTCATCATCTACGCTGATTATCTTTGAATTATGTAATCATATCTGTTATTATTACCATCCAACCTCACAGGTTTTAATAACATGCTTACTTGCTTACATTTTCCAAATTACTAGCTGCGTATAACATGTTTAGAAATTAGAATTAAATTAGAAAAGCACTTGGAGATTGCAGACATTTGCCACGGCCATGCTCTACCTCACAGAGTTAACCAAAGTGTACAATAATTAGTGTATCATCCCATGGTTTGCACTCCAGAATGTAATGGGGTTTTTCTTGGCCCATGCGTCACTCATCCACACTTTTATTATACGAGGCCAGTGATTTCTATGTAAGCATACTGACATTCAGACCAACAAACAAACCCAATATGTAACCTCTCCAGTAAGGGTATTAAAGATGTGAAGATTCTGACCTCTTAAAGGAAAGTTAAGTACTTTCACCAAGAAAATGACCTGAACTGGGGCGGTGGTGGCGAAGTCGATAGGGACTTGGCTTGGCAACTGGAAGGTCACTAGTTCAAGTCCCGGCAAGACCAAGTGCTACCGAGGTGTCCCTGAGCAAGGCACCGTTCCCCACACTGCTCCCCGGGCGCCGTTCAAAATGGCAGCACACTGCTCCTACACTAGGATGGGTTAAATGCAGAGAAACAATTTCCCCACGGGGGATTAATAAAAGTCCATCTTATCTTACCTTGTTGTTTAATTCCTATTATTTTCTTCATAGTATCAAAATTGGCAACCATGTATAATGCTTAAATATCGATACAGGCAGGTCAATTAGACAAACCGCAACTAGTGGATTAACATCCTTAGATCACCTTCAATATTCACATATTCAATAAATCTACTGTTTTAAGTACGTTTGAACCTAAGGGATCAAATGTCCCTCAAATGCAAGATTTTAAAAAAGGTATGAAAGGCATACAAAAGCAACAGCTTATACTTGACTTCATTCAGTAGTTTGATCCCTTTCAGTTATAAATATCGAAGGCCTTTTCTTGGACACAACACAATCAGCGTCCATACCTGAACCTTTTCATCATTGAAGAGCATCTATGGCTAAAAAGAAATGAAACCTTGTGGTTACACAAAGGAAACACGGGGAAGTAAAGGATGAAAAAGCACACAGGCTCCCTTAAGAAAAAAAAAAAGAGAGCAAACAGGCTTGTTGGCAGGTATGCCATAAAGGTTGAGAAATCTCTGCTATTCTTGGAGGTCTTCTACAGCCCCCTGGAGTCATCACCATTTTCACTTTCATTTTCTAGCCCTCCTTGGCTCATGTCATGAGAGTGCCTCGATTGATGGCCCCCGTTGTCGTTCACACACACACACACACACACACACACACACACACACACACACACACACACACACACACACACACACACACACACACACACACACACACACACACACACACACACACACACACACACACACACACACACACACACACACACACACACACACACACACACACACACACACAGAGATTAGTGCAAGTGTGTGTACATGGTCATACAAAAAGCCCTCATACAGCTACACGTACACACACATGTGATACAAAATCGCTTTTGTTGCTGTCCTTGGTGCTGAAATTCCCTGAGCCAATATCAGTGTTGATGTTAACATGCCTATGTAGCCTTTCCAATCAGTAAAACCCTGTTTGCGAGAACCTTTGAAAGACAGTGAAGGTGCCCTGGGCTCGGGGAAGAGGGAGAAGATACTGGCTCGTCATGATACACTCTCTAATTACACTACAGATAGAATAATATAAAAGAGTGTGAAGAGGGGATAACATAGGGGCCTGGGGGACATCCTATGTATTGCAACTCAAAGCATGCGCAGCTACATCTCATCATTTCCTCATCATTACGACTGGCACCCGATTCCAGGCCTGTATGCCAGTGCATGACATGCATGAGGAGGGCCAGTGATGAATACTGGTTATGCCACAGTGGATAGGGAAACAGTGTCACGGCTGCCAATTAAAATAAAGGGTGGAAGTGAGGGAAGCACCTCGTTTCACCATTTCGCTGTATCTCCACTGTCTCACTCCATCACTGTTAATAATTGATCAAAGTTTGCAGTCTCGGCTTTGATATATCCATGGCAACGGCCTGCGCAGAGAGTGTGTGTCTGCAGAACTGTATGTGTGTGTATGGGTCTGTCTGTCTGTCTGTCTGTGTGGTCTGTGTGTGTGTGTGTGTGTGTGTGTGTGTGTGTGTGTGTGTGTGTGTGTGTGTGTGTGTGTGTGTGTGTGTGTGTGTGTGTGTGTGTGTGTATGTGTGTGTGTGTGTATGTGTGTGTGTGTGTGTGTGTGTGTGTGTGTGTGTTGTGTGTGTGTGTGTGTGTGTGTGTGTGTGTGTGTGTGTGTGTGTGTGTGTGTGTGTGTGTGTGTGTGTGTGTGTGTGCGTGTGTGTGTATCTCAGAAGGCTGTAAATAGTCTGATGCTGTCGCCAGAATAGCCAGAGAAACAAGCCGTTCTGCTACCACAGGGTATCTGCATCCATTAAAGAGACAGGCTGGGATTAAGCGTTGAGATTCATGAATATTGTATGATGTTGAACAAGCTGAGGACATCGCTTGATCCTCCAACCCTAAATGGTAAAGAACTGGTGTGGGAATGTGTGTTAAAGGCACCCGTTTGCCTAAATCTATGTCAAACTTGAATGCCTTTGTTGTATTTAATATTACTGATAGACTTTAAAGACGCAATAAAAGTTCCTCCTGCATAATTACGCTCCTCCAACCTTGATCTTGAGATGCAAGCAAACAAAGGGCCAGTTACGCCCTTGTCTTAATCTCACAGTCAAACAAAGAGTTGGGCTCCCAAGGTGACCAACTCGAAAGGAATGAGACGTATTAACTGCATGTAAATATCATAGCTAATTAATCCCTATTCTAATAATTGCTTTTCTGCCTCTCAGAGAGTAAGATCCTCATTACTATTCCAGCCAGGTGAAAAGTGTTTGCAATGAGAAGGTAAAAAAAAAAAAAAATCATTCCAAACACACTGTAGCCAGAGCAGGAGCAATACATTCCCCCTTGACTTAATTCAAGGAATTAACCAGCGTCACTCTCACAATGTTATACCAGCCTCTTTGAGCTGTTCTATTCAAAGGATCTGCATCTAGTTATCGAGCCGGAGGCGCCACTGACTCCTGAAGCGCGAGGAGTGATGTTTCCCAATCCCTATGAAATCTGTTCATGCCATTTCTTCATCTTTATGTTTATGGCAGCTATATCTGCAGCTGCCTGCTTCAGTACACTTGTAATCAGGACACACACACACACACACACACACACACACACACACACTTGATCTGTTTAGCATTTGATAGCAAGGAACAAGGTGTATGCAGAACAGAATGTGATAAAGCATGCACTGTATTATCAGCTGCATACATCCAGCATATGAATTTGCACACGTATTTTCACAGAGCTGAAACCTTATTTGTTTCTGTGGTTTGCTTCAAGAGTAACTGTGTTGCCATGCCAACTCTCTCTCTCTCTCTCTCTCTCTCTCTCTCTCTCTCTCTCTCTCTCTCTCTTTCTATCACACACACACACACAGACACACACACACACACACACACTCACATTTGCTCTCTCTCCCTGCTATTCTGTTTAACAGGATTCCAATGCAGAGCCTTGTACACCAATCAGAATAAAGCTGGTAGCAGATTTCTAACCAGTCCCAGTACAGTTAACTGTTTGGTGCCTCTGCCACCCTCCAGGCTCCTGTCCTGCAGCATGATTGATAATAACCCTCAAGAGGGGAGACAGGGGGGATCTCCAGTAATTGTTTTCATGCATCTCCACTCATCCTGGTGTTGAGCAGAATGGTTTCTTTTTTGGGGGGAAACTTTCAGAATAAGAATGAGGACAGGCAGCTTCACTAAGATAAATAATGTGCCTTTTGATTACATGTCAGTAGTAGTGGGGGTAATATGGGGCAGCGAGGGGAAATGAAACCAGTCAGGGGGCGGATATTGGATTTATGGCTGATAATGCTGACATTTTAAAATACCACCATGATTAATGATTAATGAGCAACAAGCAGGAGGTGTGTTTGTTAATTTAGCACTAAGCCAGCCCTGAACACGGCATGGCAGCCCCCCCCCCCCCTTAGTGAAGCCGAGGGGGGACTCGAGGGTTAGTTATCAGCAGGCCGGGTGACCTTTTTATGAAAGCTGCTCTTGAGATCTGTGACTTGGGAAAAGGTGTTCCTTGAAAAAAGAAAAAGGGAGCCAGTCCTGTTGTTTTGGCAGAGTGCAATTTCAGAGAAAAACCAGGGTGTAGAATATAATCATTTCAGATATATGGTTTCAAAAGAAAGCATCACAATGAAAATGTGATGAAAAATGATATCCAGCAGTACAAAGAAAGAGTACGATGTAATGTGAGGGGCAGATGATTAGATCCCACTGGATGACACCACACATCACTTAAGTGCGCACCTCCTCTGACTCTCCTCCACATGCACTCACCATGCTGTCGTAGTGGATGAGCTCCAGTTCGTAGTCTGGCAGGATGTCGCTCCGGTTGTTCACCAGGTCCAGGGCCATCTGAGCGGAGGGCATACACGCCTGCCCGCCGGGCCAGCCTCCGCTCATGGGGAACAGCGCTCCGATGTACAGCTTCTTCTTGCCTGCGGAGGGCCGTGGCCAGAGGAGGAGAAGGACGATGAGAGATGCCCGAAGGAGGAACACTGCCTGCCCGCGGGCTGTGCGAGTTACCCGCGGAGGACTTCTCCACATCCCCGGCATGATTCAAGGTGAGATGAACCGGTGTTGCAGCGATACAACCGAGACAATCTTATTTCATGTGAGAACTAAAGTGTAAGTGAACTCAACACGTGTCCGGCACCTTTACGCAGAATTGAGTTGGGTTCAACGTTGAGTTTTGCAGATATGATGTGAGCCAACGATTTACTTTTAATTGCAAGTGTTTAGCGAAACGATTAATCTATAAGGTCGGCGTATAATTCTGAGTATTGCATGGTTAATTTGACAAGGCATGCTGGATATTTTCGGGACAAAGTCAAACACAGTTCAGTCAGCCTTTACTAGCCACCATGTGAGGACACGCTACAGCCCGGCTCAAGTTTTCAATCCTGCAGTCCAACTCATATCTATGCAATCCCACATATAAACTAACGTATCGATTTCTGCCTTTATTCAATCATGAATGTTGGACGGCGCATCCCTTCCTCACGAGTTTACGCGAAAAAAAGGACGCGCGGATTAGACGCTGGAGTCGTCGCGAACACGTCAACCGGGTCAAATGAGTGTTGATTTGGAGCAGTAGCTCTCAAAAATAATGCATCAACTGGAGTGTGGAGGGAGAGCTGAAGCAGCGGGAATAGCATGCAGCATCTCCCCCTTTTAACGCAGCCGTA